CACGTCCCCGGCCAGCTCCCGGAGCGACAGGATGCTCCCCCGCCGGTAAGATTTTTCTATTTGGCAACCCTACACAGAGTCCACCTTCCAAAGCAGCCATTTTCTCCAGGTGAACTGATCCCTGTCACCTGGAGATCAGTTGTAATAGCAACTAGAGATCTTGTAATTCTGGGAGATCTCCAGGCCTCACCTTGAGGTTGATTACAGTATTTCTTGGCAATTCTGATTTTAAAAAAAATTAGAGGGAAGGCAAGGGTAATCTGTTGTTGTTAGCCATTCAGTCGTGTTTGACTCTAGTTTAACATATACTCACAGGAAGGGTATAGTAGAGTTGCCATCCCCCCGATGGGGGTAGGGGTTCCCCTGCTTTCGGGGGCCCCAATCCGCTGCTGGCCAGCAGGGGGAGCCCCACCCCTGAAGAGCCCCATTGGGCTGGATATGATAAGAACATAAGAGAAGCCAATGTTGGATCAGGCCAATGGCCCATCTAGCCCAACACTCTGTCACACAGTGGCCAAAAATAGCAGGTGCCATCAGGAGGTCCACCAGTGGGGCCAGGGCACTAGAAGCCCTCCCACTGTTGCTCCCCCCCCCACAGCACCAAGAATATAGTGCATCACTTGCCCTAGCCTGAGAGTTCCTATCTACACCTTGTGGCTAATAGCCACTGATGTACTTCTGCTCCATATGTTTATCTAATTCCCTCATGAAGCTATCCATGCTTGTAGCTGCCTCCACCTCCTGTAGCAGTGAATTCCATGTGTTAATCACTCTTTGGGCGAAGAAGTACTTCCTTTTATCTGTTCTAACCTGACTGCTGAGCAATTTCATTGAGTGCCCACGAGTTCTTGTATTGTGAGAAAGGGAGAAAAGTACTTCTTTCTCAACCTGCCCTATCCCATGCATAATCTTATAAACCTCAATCATGTCACCCTTCATCAGTCATTTCTCTAAGCTAAAGAGCCCCAAGCATTTTAACCTTTCTTCATAGGGAAAGTGTTCCAACCCTTTTATCATTCTAGTTGCCCTTTTCTGCACTTTTTCCAATGCTATAATATCTCTTTTGTGTGGTGACCAGAACTGTACACAGTAGTCCAACTGAGGTCACACCATTGATGACATCACCCAGGAGCAATGTCATCGTGCCAGGCATGTTGTGCAGGGGACGCTCTAGCATTTGGCTAAAAACTCTATGGTCTCTGTAGTCTTTACAATTGCCAGATCCCCCCTAGCCTCTGGTAGGGAGTGGGAGGTGGTAAGGTTGCCAGCTCCAGGTTGGGAAACTCCTGGAAATTTGAGGGTGGAGCCTGGGGAGGATAAGGACCTCAATGGGGTACAATGCCATAGAGTCTACCCTCCAAAGCATCCATTTTCTCCAGGGGAACCAAATTCTGTAGTCTGGAGAGGAGCTGTAATTCTGGGAGTCCCCCAGGCCCCTCCTGGAGACTGGCATCCCTAGGAGAACTCCAAGTCCCACCTGAAGTTTGGCGACCCAAGATTATCCACAGGATTTGGCACAAGTCAGTGTCTTGTTTCAGAGTACAGTGCTTGCTGTTGACACTGTGCACCCAATTTTTGATTGATGAGAACTGTTTCAGGACACATTTTTGTATGAAAAGGGGGATGGAAACATAAAAAAATACAAGTTGGAGAACTTCTTTGGTGGCTTTGGCTGTCCCCTCAGATCCTTTTGGTTACTCTGTCTAGCCATGAACTCCTAATAAAAAGACCCCCCCCCCAAAAAAAAACAACCCAACAACAACCAGTTGGCATAATGACACAGAGGAAAGGCTTTTCAATACGTTTGCGAAATTCTTTTGCAAAAACCTAATCTATACCCAATGCGAAAATGTCAAAGAAAAAGTGAATTAAAAAACATATGATGCAAAGCACCCTCAACAGAACAAACCCTAACCCATCAATTAAGAAAACAGGGGAGGAAATACAGAAGCTCCCAGAATGAACAGTTTAATTAAAAGACACATACATACAAAATGGCTAGTGACATTGCAAAAATGAGTTTATTTTGATAAAGAAATGGGAAAAGCACATTAGTTTGAATTCTCCAGCTCCTATTCCTAGTATGTACATAGCATCCTAACAACTAAATATAAAACCAAATAAATTAGTAAGCCCAGATATTTTGCTGTCAGACACAAAGACTCGGTATATATCTAATCAGGGCCTTCTGTAAAATGGTCAACATCTGGTCCAAGCTGGGCTTGTGTGACTTCAATGGCTGAGCAGAAGAGAAAAGCTTGGGAGGGGGTAGGTTGCCCTGCTATTCCTCCAATCACAAGAGTCATTGCACTTTGTGGCCATCCCCCCCAGCCACCCAACACCAGCACAGGAAATGCATTGGCAGAGGAGAATCCTTCGGAACAAGGAAGTGATGACCTTGGCCTTGGTTTGACCTTGGATTGTATCAAAAGGGAACATTTGACAGTGACAAGAAAAAGGAGGGGGAACTGTAGAGAAGATCAGAAAATACTGACTTCATTAAGAAAAAACGAAATGGCTGATCCTTCATTAATTTTGGCTACAGACTAATTTCTTGTTGAAAAGGTAGCATTCTGTTTTCCTCACAGAGGGGTTATAATTTGACTGGAAATATCTTTATTCTTGTCATTTTTGGGATTTGTGCTGTGTACAGATTCCAGCCCAGCTCTTATTTTCTAACCTATTTCCCTCCCAAGTTGATGCATAAGGGAATGACAATGCTTACTACTTTGTTCATTCAAAAATATTTGTAATCCACAGATATTCGTTCACTGGCTCTAGAATGTCCTTTCCATTCTAGGCTGCTTCTTCATCCATACAGTTCTGAACTTACACAGAAACTCTTTACAACATGTATTGCCCAACAGCGGACTGACCCTATATCCTCTGAATCCAGCCACAGCTAAGACCTTCCTTTTGCTCTAAACAACACTGCATCACGATTTATGACCTAAAAGAAAACAAGTTTTTAATAAAGGACACAGGAATGTCATAGGGAACTCATTTATTGGCTTTTGCAGGGTAGTAAGCTAACCTGCAGATTTCTTCACCTTTTATTCACAGATACCAATTCAGAGAATAGTTTTTTGGATGTTCCATAAAGAGAAGGAAAAAAAGGACAATTGCTGTTGGCTTTAAATATGGGAAGACAAGAACTTGCACAATCTTTACCTTCTGTTTTTGTGCTCAAGATTGGGCATGCCTCTGTACATTTTCCTTGGTCTGCTGGGCAGCCCTTTGTTGATCAGTTAATCTCTGCAGTTCTTCCCATTGCTTGATGCTTTGATCAGTGCCTCCTCTTTCCCTGAAATCCTCCTCACTAGACTGGGGCGGGACATAAATGGACTTCCAATCAAAAGGCTTTGGGATGTCAATTCTGAGCTCTCCTTGTCGAATAGCCACATAGGGCCTCAGAGCATCAGCTGTCGATTGTTCAAACCAGTTAAGAAGCTCTTTGAGGTATTGGAGGAATGCGGTGTAATTTTCTATCATCAGGTCGATCAATTTTTGGGTTTCAGTGATCAGTCTTTCAGTGGACTGGCTAAAGCCCTCATAGGCCTCCTGTAGCTTTGCTTTGACCTCCTGGTTTTGTTCAGCAGCACTTCTCTTAGCAATCTCCGACCAATACAGGATCTTGTCATGAGCAGACTCAGAGAGTTTGCTGATATTTCCATGGGACGCAAATTCTTGCACTTGATCCATGACAGATGACACAACATTAGCAGCATTGCCAAGATATGTGGCATTCCACTCCTCCACAGCACTGAGAAGACTCTTCAGCCAAGCTATCACTGCGTCTGTCACTTCATAGTATTTGATGGGCCACCCAGTTACACTTGGGTCCAAATATTCCTGCTGCCAATCCTTCAGATATTGCAGAAATTCTCCTAGCTTTGAGATGATGCTCCGCAAGGTATTCTGGATGATGTTAACATAGCGAGGAAGCAGGTATTTTATATCCTCTGCAAAACTCTTCAGCTTTTCTGAAAGGTTTGTGAAAAATAATTTGGCCTGGACTATAATGTATTCATAGTTTTCGGACCGTACATTTCTGATAAGCTCTTTTGCCTTTTGGGAGACTTGTTGAACTAATTCTTTCAGTTCTCTTAACTTTTCTGCAAAGTCGACTTTTTGAAGACTGGCAAATATCTGACTAGCTTTGTTTTGTACATGTCTTAGAAATATTTTAATTTCATTAAGTATATTAGAGCCTCTGATGATTTGGCTGGAAGCTGGAATTTTGAACTCTAGCTCACTGACATAGTTAATCAAAGCATCGACTCGTTCCTGCACCTTTGAAATGCAGAGGTCTGTAACTTTTGCTAATTTTTCAGTGGCCATCAAAAAAAGTTCTTCACCGGTATGCTTCTCGGCCAGGCCTGGCAACTGGAACTTGGTTTCCTTCAAAAATTCAATGGCAGAGTCTATAAGAAGCTTCATTTTTTGCTGATACACTTGTATGATATCCATTATGGTATTAAAAACTGTGGTTCTTATTTGGTCATAGTCCAGCTGGGCTGCTTGGTCTGCTGCTTCTTGATACATCTTTGCGGTTCTTACCATTATATCTTCATACTTTGCAGTGGCTTGGTTTTCAAGTTCATTGATACTTTTTAAAGTTCCTCTGTAAGTCTTGTCAACATTAGTTTTCAGTTTCTCCTTCAGCTTTAAACCAGCAGTGTTGATGTCCATCCCCATATGCTGGTGATGATACTTATTAACGCTGTTGTACACTGCAGCGACCATTTTAGGTACCTTCTCTTTTAAACTGAGGAGCAAGTCCTTGGCACTGTCTTCTTCCCAGTTGGCTTTGATTTGGATCAAATCAGGGCGTTTGAAAGATATCTCACTTTTCACAATGTCGACATCATTCTGAGGATTAGACTGAAAATATAAAATACATTTAGAAAAGGCTATTTCCTGTCTCCTCGCCCTACTCCCAATGACATTTGTTTGCTAATAGGCTTAAAACTGGAATATGCTTACTCTACACTCAGTTGAATTAAATTGATTGGGTCTAAACCATATGATTCGGTTTTGGGTCAATAGGTGCCTTTCTAATCCCAGAAGATGCCCTTCCGCACATGACAGGGAACATTTCATCTTATACTGTGGTTTGTATCCAACACAGCATAATAACATCATGGCTTTTTCTATGGTCATCACAACTTTATAAAAAAAACTGTTCTGATTTCACAGTTTGTTCAACTCTGCTAAAATCTGTGCAATAAAAATGGAAGCAGAGCAAGAATCCTAGACATTGAGATGTAGCATAATGATCTGTTACTGGAGGGGAAGTGAGGAAGACTCTGCTGGCTTCCTAGAAGCAATCTCACATTAGCTGAATGACATCCGAGTGGAGTTTGTTCTCCTCTCCTTGCTGGTGTTTGGGCTCTTGGGCACGTGCCAATGGGCTTGGTTCTTGGCCCTTGGTCCTCAGAGTGAGGCTCACAGCCCAAAACCTGGGTCTTATCTCAGTGATAAGCCCCAGAGTCCAGGTTGCCTGCCAGCATTAGTGCAAGGAAGTGAATTCTACTTTACACTAGTGTTGCCACCCAACTGCCCGTGCACACAAATGTGTGCACATATTTTCTTACATATTCTATGTCCATTTATCTGCCCAAGCCTTTTGAATGAGGCAAGTTACATTTCCCCCCAAACTAAACAAACAAACATAGGTGAAGAGAAAAGAATGTCAGGGGCTTCTAAATAATCTATCGTCACAGGGGCTTGGTTCTTGGCCCTTGGTTCTCAGAGTGAGGCTCACAGCCCAAAACCTGGGTCTTATCTCAGTGATCCAGGCCCCAGAGTCCAGGTTGCCTGCCAGCATTAGTGCAAGCAAGTGAATTCTACTTTACACTAGTGTTGCAACCCAACATATTTTCTTGCATATTCTATGTCCATTTATCTGCCTAAGCCTTTTGAATGAGGCAAGTTACATTTCCCCCCAAACTAAACAAACAAACATAGGTGAAGAGAAAAGAATGTCAGGGGCTTCTAAATAATCTATCGTCACAGTCAATGACTTTTATTAAGCTGAAATATGGGAATAAGGTACAAATGATGTTTAAAGGTCCAGCTTGAGACCTCAGCAGGTCTACCTAAGACTTGTCTCTGCAACTGAGGTAGGGTGGTAAGGAGAAGTGCCAGAGAAGCAGAGCAGTTATTATAGAGGAGAAAGAAGGACCTTGGCAGGTGATGGGTTTGCCATACTGAATCCTCGACTCCCTGCTCACATGGCCTTAATATAGGGTAGCAAGCCTCCATTAACAACTTTGAGAAAGCCCCTGCAATACACTTGTCATTCTCCAGCCATCCCTCAAACCTTGAGGGGCACTGGTCTAGTAATAAGCAAATTAAAATTTACACATACACACAAAAAACATTTAATGATTTCCATCTGGCCTACCTGTGTTCGGTAGAAAAGTTTTCCCTTGATTGCATCAGAGTCCTCATTGACAACAAAGCCGAGAGTACCAGCAGAAGAGGCTGCTCACATGCCCTTGATATAGGGTAGCAAGTCTCCGTTAACAACTTTGTGAAAGCCCCTGTAATACACTTGTCATTCTCCAGCCATCCCACAAACCTTGAGGGGCACTGGTCTAGTAATAAGCAAATTAACATTTACACACACACACACACGCAAAATTTAATGCTTTCCATCTGGCCTACCTGCGTTCGGTAGAAAAGTCTTCCCTTGATTGTATCAGAGTCCTCATTGAGAACAAAGCCGAGAGTACCAGCAGAAGAGGAAGACACTGAAGAATGAATTCCTGTGCTCTGCGCTTCATAACGCACTTGGGCATCAGTAAAGGTTGGGCTAATGATGTCCAGAGAAGCTACGTAGCTGGGGATGCTAAAGCAGCCAAAAAAAATCACAGAAGAGGTAAATTAATTACTGATGGTGTTAATACAGATTCAGTTTGTTACCCAACTGTGGCTAAGAACAATCTTTTATTTTGGGAGAGCTTTAAACCCCTCTGATATATTTTTTAACATTTCAGGTTTTTCTGCAATTCTAGGATGCCTCCCAAGTTTGCAGAACTATCTGTTTGGGGTAAGTATGGCTCTGATCTGCATATTTAGTTGGCTGCAGATGGGGCCACACTTTTGCTATCAGATATATAGATTTATGGAGTTTACCTTCCTTTAGTCTCAAGCTTCCAAAAGGTTTATATCTCTGGTAAAATGAAATAATATTAAATAATGTTTATTAAAATTTAACACAGACAAAAGGAAACAATCAAACCAGCAATCCATACATGTCTTCAACCTAAAGGAAGTTTTTAATTGCGTCTTAAACGGGCCAGGTAAACATATCTGGTTTATTTATTTTGGGAAAGACTCCATGATGCAGGGGCCACTACCAAAAGACCCTGTTGCCTGTGTGACCGGTCTCTCCTCAGACAGAGATGGTACCCACTAAAAAGGCACTTTTCCAAATCTCAGAGCATGGGGGCGGCACAGAGGGGAAGAGACATTCCCTCAGATAATCCTCTATTCAAGGCTAATCCCTCCCATGAGCACTAAAACCCTCAAAGGTGAAAACAGAGTAATCAACAATGCAATCATAAACTGAATTATATCCTTCTAAATCCACTGGAATAAATGAATTTAGAATCAATGAATTCTGCTTAGGATTGCAGTGCTGAACAATAAACTTTTAATTATAGCCAAGAGCCTAATACATAACATTATTAATAGTGATCAGAGTATAAAGTCAAAATTTTATATGAAAAAGCCAGGTTAATTTCTTCCCTGCTAAATAACAAGAAGATCTGGATACCCACAGAATTCAACCAAGACCAAACTCATTTCTGACTGCTTGGTACACCAGGTGAGAGGCAATGCCATGCCCACATTTTACAACGTAGCTCAGTGAAACCAGATTTCTGCACATGGGGCATGGCTTGCCCTACTGAAATGTTCAAGGAAAGAAACTTTTACCTGAGTCCTTGCACTCTAAACATAGATTTATATTCTGCACTCAGGTCACGATGTGAGAAGGTGCCTTGAGTCACTTCAGTGAAGAGGCCGTTTTTGTAAGGGTAGGTGGTCAAAGCTAGAAGGGAAAGTTTTCAGACCGGTAGAACAAGGTCACAGAGAAATACAGAGTGCATTCAGATGCTAGCCTCCTGACACCATAGATGTAAAATCTCTTCGTGCCCAAGCTGCACAAAAATTGAGGGTTGTTTATTTTGCCAAAGATTTTTTAGAAGTCAAAGTGTTTGTTCTAACTCTTAGAGATACTAATTGTAGACACCACCTTGTGAACCAGAAGTCCCCAACTAAAATCTTATATCACAAAGTAGTCTTACGCAAGCCACTGTTTTTCAACCTCTGATCCACCCCCACTATCAATTTGCGATTAATAATGCTGGCAGAACTTTCAGAGCCATTGCAAGAAATGCCATTGCAAGTAATATAGTAAATACTATAGTATTTTATCATAGAAATAATATATCTATGATAAAATACTATAGTATTTACCATATTACTAGCATCTACTCCACCCCCACTATCAATTTGTGATTAATAATGCTGACAGAACTTTCAGTGTGTGTGTGTGTGTGTATAATATTTCTACAATAAAATACTATAGTATTTACCATATTACTAGCATCTAGCTAACAAGACTGATTATTATCTAGTTAAACAAAACTTTTTTTAAAAAAAATCTCCATTCAAAGAGAGTCTGCCCATACTTCAGAGTTCCCATTCAAAAATTTCCTTCTGCAATAGTCATATTTAAATTATTGGCTTGGCATAATATGTTTCATTTGAAGCCCATCCACCCAAAGACTGAAACTGTAACTCTGAAAAATTGATCTTACCATCTAGGTCATACTCCAGAAACTGCAGAGGTGAATTCGCGGTAAAATCAATGGAACGTTCAAAAGAGTCTTCATTGTTTTTGAAACCCAAGTTCCCGGTGAAGCTGTACACTGGGGAAGCAACTCTGAAAGAACTACTCAAAGCTCCAAATTTGGGGAAGTAAATCCCTGCAGGCAAAGTGAGTTTTAAAGCTGGAATTTCAATCCGCTGCTCAGGAATTGTTATTGTCGGCAGATCAAAGTCAGCTATCTTGTTGGCAACAGCATTCAAATCCACAATTTTATTGCCAACAGAAATGGTCTTTGGAAGAGTAAATTGGGATATAGTCAAAAGATACTCAGGTACAGTCAGTTCAAAGTAGGAATGTTTATTTCCTGCTGTATCAATGTAGCTGGTTAGTACATCTAATTGGGGAAACTGTATTTTTGGCAGTGAAGGGAATCCAATGTCAAACGGCATGGTGCTCAGCTTTTCAGGGACCTTTATTTCACGCAGGTCAATGGTATAAGAGGGAACATGCAGAGTTGTAAAAGGAACACTGAATGCTGGAGTTGTGATCACAGGATTTTGTACTTTCAGTTCTATTTCTGGAATTGTAAATGTAAATCCATCAGCCAATCGATTCACATTTATAGGGAAAAAATACCCATCTTCACTTTTTGTATATAGTATGGCAGTTGACGTATTTAGATATTGCCTCTCTTCAGGCCTCGTGGTGAGATCTAATTCCAAGATATCCCATAAGCTCCTGTCATAAATGGGCAGCACTATATGTTTCAGGAACCGCACATGCCCTCCTAAAGATCCAGACAGATCAAATTGAACATCGGTTTTGGTATTTGCTAACTGCAAGTGATGTTGAAGTGTCAGAGGGAAAATTTGGCCTTCACCCTTCCAAACAATTTTCTCATGTTCAGTACCAAGAGTCATTGAAAGAACTTGATTAAATGAAGTCTCAGGAAGGATATTATTATCTATCTGAATGACTGTTGACATACTCCCAGGAGTTACTTCTGAAGTTAATTTGCAGATATGCTTTCCATTCACTTGATATTGTGGAGTAAACTGTAGACGATATTCTTTGCTGCCATCCAGTACTACATAAATACGATGGTTTGATGCTTCGACAGCAATATTATTCTTGAGGTTAAGATTCAAGATATCAACTTGAGAGCTAGACTCAAAGTTGACACCAGAACGCACACCTTTAGCATTTAAGAAGGCATTTGCTTCCAGAAGCAGCTTTCCAGAAAATGGTCTTGTATTGTAAAATACTCCATCAATGAAACCATTGGTTGAAGTTTCTATAGCAATGTCAGAGATTATGCTTTCTAGGGTGTACTTGTTGTCAATTGCTCCTTTAGCATTGGTGCCAAAGGCAGGCATGTCAACAATGTAATTTACATTTATAGCCGAAGAGATGATAGGCTTGGACCTAGTGTTTCCCTTAAGCTCTTGTCCAAAATTCACTTTTAGATTTGGTGTGTTAATTTTTGTTGCTGTTGTTACTGCAGCTTCTATGTTTCTCCTTGTGAGACTGATAGTGCTGTCATGGTTTCCCTGTATAAATTTATTGTTCACAGATAATGCAGTTGCAAGCTTCAGCCCCCTTTGCCTTGTAAGACTGGTTGTTCCATCCAGTTTATACTGTAGCGCGTCGATCACAGAAGTGGATGATGAACTTAAGCGAGCAATGAGATCGGATTGGTTGAAAAGCCCAGCATTTGTATTCAGGGTAATCACACTGGATTTAAATGAAAAATCATAAGTCATATTTCCCAAGGCTGGAAAGTAAATTCTGTTCAGTGGTCTGTGTGCTCGATAACTGGGAAGCTTCAGTGTCCGCAGGCCTTGGGGGATATGTAGGACAGGCAGCTCTAGCGATGGGAGGACTAATGTATACGATGGCACTGAAAATCCAACTAGTGGCATAGTGAAACTTGGAGTACTCATTTCTTTTGGGATCACATAGCCAAAAGCTGGGAGCTCAGCTGTAAACGGAGAGACCTCAATGTTGGCCATTGGGATGGTGTAGCCTGGAATCCTGAAGGTTCGTGGAAGACTGTCAATGGAAGTATCCACTTTGTATTGGTCAAACTTTGTCTTGGCTCGGTTATATGAATTTGTAAGGAAAACTAAAGCGTCATCCCTACCTCTTTCAAAATGCTTGTTGAACGCCACGATGTAGTGCTGGAGCGCTCTCTGCACTCCATCTAAAGGAATTTCAAAGGAGTGCTTATCCTTGTTCTTTCTGTATTGAGCTTTCAGGTTTAAATCAAATGATTGCTTTGTAGTCTTCAGCAAATTCTTCAGGCCTGTTTCCTCCCACAGAGAATATTCTACTACCTGAGGTGTTCTAGCATTAATATATGGGACAGAGATTTCAGGAATGGAGACTGCAATGCTTAGGAAGTCCAAGTTGGCTTCACCACTCATTGACACCAAAGCTTCTATGCTATCAGCAGTGTTACCAGCAGAGATGTTGTGGGCATATCTGTATTGGTTAAATCTTCCATCAGCTGCCCAGCTGACTTGTTGACTTGAAGGACTCAACATCAAGCCATAGTTGTTCCGGAAGTCAATTTTGCCAACCAGTGTCAATGGGAAGCTAATTTTTACATTCCCTTCATTTTCTGTTGATGCTCGAATTTCAAAGGGCTGCAACAAGAAGGCCATGTTGTTTTTTACAGTTCCAGTGACACGTCCATTCAGTTTCAGATCGTGTGTACCAGTTAGTTCAGTTCTCATCTTTGCAAGATCTCCTAAGCCGTACATGTTTAAGACACTGAGCCCCAATTGTGGAGATTCTACTGTAGATACAACCTGAAGGCTTGCGGCACTTGGTAAGCGATATTCGTACTGCAATCTCTGGTTAACCTTCAAGTACTTATCATTCACCTTGTTTTCCACCACAAGTGCAGCCACAGGCCCTCCTATGGTGAAGCTGACACTTGAGTCATGGGTTCCTTCATCAGAGTAATCAAGAGCATCCCATTTCCAGTTCCCTTTACCAATGGAAGCAACTATTATGCGCCCTGCTTCCAACTCTGTTTTTATTTCATTGCTCAGTTCAGCTTGGCTAGTGAAATAGGCATTGGGGATATTTAACCTGTGTGTATATATTGACTTGCTCTCCATGGAAACCTTCTTTTGCAGGCTGACTGTTAATGTGTTATGCAGTTCTACCGCATTTTTGGTGGTACGCAGGCTCACTGTCGTTTCAGCATTACCTTGAGCAGAAGTCGTCAATAATGTTATTTCACTACTGTGATCAGCTTTCAGATACAAGTGGGAGAGCTTCAGGCTCTCTTTGAAGATGAGTTGTTTCATCTCAGGAGCTGAGAGACGAGCATCTGCCGCTACGGTGAAATCAAGGTAGTCATATTTGGACGTTGCTAGAGCTGAAACTGAGGCCACAAATTCTGGGCTGTGGGCAAAAGTTGTGATATTTTGAAAGCCAACATTAGTATTCAGTGTAAAGAAGGGGGAGGTTGCTCGGAAAGTACCAGACAGCTGACCAAATGCTGGGACAGTCACGGTGTGTGGAATACGTGGGAGCTGGAATTCTGGTATCTGTATATCTGGAAACTGGAATTCATTGAGATTGAGCTTTGGGATCACTAATTCAGGTATTTGTAACTCGGGCAAATTCATATCTGGGAAAGAGAAATCAGAAAAGGGCATGTCGTTCATCCTTAGGTCTTTGAAATACACATCAGCTGCTGGCAGCTGAAAGTCACTTGAAATAATTTGATCAATCATCTTCACCATCTTCACTTTGATTTCATTCAAATCAATGGTATAAGAAGGAATCGTAAAGGTATTTAAGATAGTAAATTCAGGTGTTGTAAATCTGATTGGAATTCTGATTTCTTTTAAGTTCTTGAAATTTACCTGATATGAGGGGACACGCAGGTCAGTTAGAGGAATCATAAAATCTGGTGTTTGAAATGTTGCTTCCCGTAGGGCCCGGAGGCTTACTTCAAAGGCAGGTACATTGATTATTCCTGTTCTGATTTCAGGGACTATAAAACCAGATTCAACAAAGTGGTTCAACTTATCAGCTATATTTTTAATATCATATTGTTCAGCCAAATGGGTAATCTTCTTTGAGGCAATGTGCCATTGATGAACTATGTAGTTGACTATTGTATTGTACAACTCGCTTGCCTTCTCAAGATACCTCTGGCATTCCTTTGGGATATCCATTTGATAAATTCTACTACGGACATCTTCCAGATAATCACGTATCTTCGTTTTAAGATCCCTTAATGCTGTAGAGCTTAGGAGATCATTGAACCAGTCAAATATTATTGCAAGTCTAGTTTCTTTCAATTTCTCTGCATACTGTGAAACCACAACAGCAACGTCTCTGAGATATTGTTTTGCAGCTTCGAGTTTCTGTGGCAGTTCTAAGGCTCTGATTTCCTCATTGATCTTCTGTGTTATTTCCCGGATTTTGTTGTTTGCTTCATCTACAAACTTGTTGTAATCAAAATGCTTCAGTTTCTTTATAGCACCATTGAGAAATTTGTTGACTTCATCCACCAGATTTTGGTAATCAAATGTTTGGAGCCAGTTAACAGCATCATCAATTGATTTCAGTATTTGATTGAAGAATAACTTTATGTCAAGTTTTCTCAAAGACATGGTTAATTTTTGAACTGTTTCTTTGACTTTGTGCTGGTTATAAACCTCTACAAGTTTGTCCAGTAGAACTCTGGCCTGCTGATCCACTTTATAGTTTACTATCAGTTCATGGATTTTACCCCGGAGTACGTTGATTTTCTCAGATATCTCATAATCCTCTATAAAATTGATAAGAATGTCTTTGACTTGTTCAAGAATTTGGTTCAGTTTTTGAACTGGATAGGACACTTGTAGTCTTTCTATAACCAGTCTGAGGTCAATTGTTTCAATCTGATGCTTCAAATTATCTGCAATACGACTGACATCGATACTTTCAATCTGGCTCTTAATTTCATCCAGTTTATCTTGCACCTGAGCTTTGATTTTATACTCAGCCTCCATATTCTGGACCCAAGCTGCAGTGCTGCTTCCAATGTTTCTGGCATCAAACTGAGAGATGGCTTTTTGTAGCTGCTGAATAGTGTCAATTGTTTTTGCACTGATTTGGTATTGTCTATCAATAACTTTAATTTTTTCAACAATTCTCTCTACAAGTTGCACAATAGCTGCTCTCAGGCTATATTGATCATAGTTCTCTTTGATATACTTTTCAGCTTCTAACAGGAGAGTCTGCAGCTGGGCGAAAGCTTCCTGAAGGTTATTCTTGACATTTTCCAAAGCAAGATGAAGGTCATCTACTCCTATGGTATAATCCCTTATGAAAGCATCCAGTGTCTCTTTTAGCTTGTTCACTCTGCTTTCCAAATTGAAAGTATTCACATAGTCATTAACTTTCTGGGGGAACTTGTCTAATGCTGCCCTGTATTTTCTCACTTGCTGATCGATATTTATGTTCTTCAGGGTCTTCTGAATAGACTTTAGTGCAGATAAAATTGAATGCCTGATTTTCTCAAAATAAGCAGGTAGATTTTCCATGAATGGCAGATTGATGACATGTACATCTGTGTTCTTATCATACTTCACAGAAAGAGCAAGACTGAATTCTTGGGGGTTAGCTACAACTTCTCTTAGACCCAGCGTGTCAATTACATTGATCCTTTGAGTATTCACAAATGGCACACTAATAGGGAAGTCCAGTACAGAAAGGTCTACTAAAGTTTGTCCACTCATTTCTACACCTATCCTTTCAGCATCATTGACAGCACTAAGATCCTGTGTGTACACATTATTGTTCAGCTGACTCTTTAGTTTCCAGGCACTTTTTTGTTCGGATGGGGTAAAAAGGACATTGACTTTGTTGTCAAGTAGTGTACTGTATTTCTTTCCTGAATTTAAGCTGTGCATGGTGGATCCCCTGTAATCATGAGAAAAGGTAAAAGCAAGAGGTTCCGCTTTGAGCAGGAATTTGTTGTACAGCTGTCCTGTATGATCTCCCATGACCACAAGACTTCCATCACCATTGGTATGCATGTCAACAGTGACTGTAAATGGGGCCACAAGAGATCGTATTACATTAGAAAATCGCAAGGACTTTGAGTCACAGTTTGTGTTGATGCTGACTGAAGTGGAGAGTCCTGCAACATCCAGATTAACTCTGTGGGTAAGAGCTGCACCTTGAATGCTTGCAACTGTGTCTGTCTTAAAGTTTGCTGCTAGGTCGGCATACATGAAGGTGTATGTGTGTTTCACTTCATCGGCTCTGTAAGCACTTTTAACATTGCCACCCAAATTTACCTTTAGTGGTTCAAGCTGCAACTGAGCGGTGTTGGCTAAGTCAGCATCGCCATACTTGAAGTAGTTGTTCACACTGGCTGTGAGAGTGTAGGGTTGCAGCTGGAAGTCAAAATGATGCTTATGAAATCTCTCTGGGCAGATGGCATTCTCTAAATTTGATGCATAGGTCAACGACAGGCCTGCAATGTTCAGATTGTGAGAATGTTCGAGCTTCATTTCTTTGTATGATCCCATCAAGCTATTTGAAAACTTGAGTCCTTCTTTATTCAACCTGAAGTTTAAGACGTTCTTGCCATCCACATCCCAAAGGCTGCTTTGATAGACACTTCCAAGCATTATTTCTGTGACAGCCGCTCACCAGCTGGGAAAGAGGTCCCTTCTGAGGGCACCATAGCGTCCAATACCGTTAATGGCCATGGTAGTTCCCGCAGGGCCAACCTGGGCGCTCATTTTATTCTCCAGTGTCAGTGGACTAAACAGCAGGTTTGTGGTTGCACTGCTAGCCAGACCATTCCCGTTAACAGTTAACGAGCATTTATGAGCCGCCTTGTTCCTTTCGCCGCTTGCAGAAATGTCAGCGTTCAGCTCGAGACCTTGGCTATTAACGGAGCCCAAAAGCAGGGTATAGTATCGGTTCTGTAGGTAACTGGCCTGGTACTCAGAGCGGAATGAGGCCCCTCGCTTGGCGATGGCTACGTCAAACTTGTTTAGAGCTGCAAAGTTTCCGTGCCTTCCAGTTGTCTCAGATGTCAGCTTCAACTGGCTGTTTTCATACTTCAAGGAAGCGGTGTTTGTCAGAAATCCCTTCTGTACATCCGAGACGGATGTGATGGTCCACGCATCAGCGGTCTGCCTGCCAGTCATCTTGTTGGTAGCCTGAAGGTAGGAAGAGTCGAACTTCAAATCCGATTCCCCTGCCAACACACGGCTGTTTGCATCATAGTTACTTGACAGCGCGTATGTGGTTTTAGCAATGGCTGAAGCGACTTTCAGTTGACCTTCCAGTTTTAGATTTTCAGTGAACAAGCGGTTACTGTACTTGAAATCATGGTCAGCAGACAAGGAAAACTGGGCACCCAGTGGACTGGACGTCTCAAGCCAAATGGTACTTCTGGCACTGGGAGTGAGTCCGTATGTGTCTGCCTTGTTGAATTTAAAATTGGCATTGAGGAGTCTGTGTTGCACGGAGCTGAGGTAAGCACAGGTGAACATGTTTTGGTCATAACTTGCTTCTCCCTGACCTGAAATAAGAAAAGAAAACAAAATATAGTGAGTGTCATGAAAACATTGAGTAATTTTTGCCACTGTTACTCCCTCATGCATAGACCCACAGAGCCAAAGTGCTTGTGCTGCAGAAAATATGAAGCATGACCTTGTTCTTGTGCATCTTTACCTGGAGTAAATCTCACTTTTTAAAAATGGACTTACTCCCCTTGAACATGCACATTGGATTGACTTGACCGAGTCTTAAAATATAATATTTAGGCTTAAGATGATAGGACAAACAGTGCCCTCCCGGGAAGTAAGTTTTATTGAATAGACTTCAGAAGGATTCTGCGTCTACCTGCTTAGGAGGGCACTGATAATTCGTGTATAATTTTAACCACTTTTTGGCTTAAATGGGTTGTAGATGTTGTTAGTCTGCGGTATTCACTGCAGGGAAGTAATTTCAGCTAAAATCCGCAACCCTTACTTGTTCTCAAGATCTGCTATTCTAACTTGTATGGAATTTAGGTGATGAATGCAGATGAAATAAATATGCCTTTGCCTTTTACACAAAGAGTGTATTCAGATGTCACAATCTCCAGTTTGTCTGTGTTGAGAACAAGCCTCAGTTTATTCTTGGAGAGACAAAATTTTTTTAGGAAGAAAGGACCCCCAATTTATTAAATCACCCAAATTTCACAGCTACCCGTGGTTAGATCAAAGACTTCCTAAAACAGAAAATCTTCAAGCTAAACTCTGAATGCAAGGGAAGGTAGCAGGAACCAAACAAATTTTGGGTGGGGTGTATTTTCATCACACACACACACACACAAACACAAACACACACAGATATTATTTGTGATGTCAGCCAAAGTCTCTTTTGAACTCCAATAAGAAACTTTTAACAAGGATAAGGAATGCCATAACAACATATGGCTGTGAATAAGGAGAGGGAGATACTACATCACAAAGCTGAGGCACTGAGATATTGTGGATGATGAATCTACGTATGCCAGCACTGCAGATCAGTCATTGATTCACATGGTAACCAGGTAGAAGCCATTATCTTTCAGCCCCAACTTTTTAGATGAATAATATTGGCCTATGTCTCAGCTAATGATACTCTTTAAGTATTTGAAGGGCTGTCACTTAGAGGAGGGCAGGTAGCTGTTCCGGTTGGCAGCAGAGGATAGGACTTGAAATAATGGGTTTAAATTAAAGGCGGGAAGGTACCGGCTGGATATTAGGAAAAACTGTTTGACAGGAAGAGTTGTTCAACAGTGGAATCAGCTACCTAGTGAGGTGGTGAGCTCCCCCTCACTGGCAGTCTTTAAGCAGTGTCTGGACAAACACTTGTCAGGGATACTCTAGACTGATCCTGCATTGAGCAGGGGGTTGTACTAGACGGCCTGTATGGCTCCTTCCAACTCTGTGATTCTATGGCTCTATGATTCTCAGTTGTTCTGGGCCCAAACACAAAGATGGTGGCAAAATCCTCAGCATAATGAAATGTATAGATCAGTGGTAAGTAGGAGTATTTTCTTAGTCCCGTACCATTAGTGTAATAATGAGAGACTGAAAGAACATTAGTATAATAACAAGTGGAGATCCGCAAGAAACTTGTGGGATGGTTATCTCATTTGGCACACCTTTGCTTCCTCTCCTCACCCCCTACCTCTCTCACACTATTTCTCCCCTCTGCCCCCCTTTTCTTACTCTCTATTTCTCCTCCATACATGTGACTTCCTCTCTCTTTCTGACCTGGCATCTTTCTCTTTGTTTTTCTGCCTCCCCACTTCATCACTCTTTCTCTCTCTTTCTGCCCCCACCTCATCATTCTTTCTTTCTGCCCCCATCACTCTCCCAGCCTCCTGCCTGCTTCCTCCCCCTCTCCACAGAGCAGCAGCAGCAGTGGTGGCAGTGCTCCTAGCCACCCACCTGCTTCCTCTCCCCCCACAGCAGCAGTGGCAGCGGTCTGGGAATCACAATGGATCTCCCAGCTACAGAGATCAATTCACCTTAGGGCTGCCAGCTCCAGGTTGGGAAATTCTTGGAGATTTGGGGGTGGAGCCTTGGGACAGTGAGGCTTGGGGTGGCAAGCAGCCTCAGCAGGGTATGCTGTCATAGACTCAACCCTCCAAAACAGCCATTTTATCCCGGGGAACTGATCTCTGTCGCCTGGACAACAGTTGTAATTCTGGGTGATCTCCAGTCCTCACCTGGAGGCTGGCAATGGTGGTTCTCAGGGAGGAAATGGCTGGAGGGTGGAGTCTATGACATTACACCTGTCCAAAGTTCCTCCCCTCCTCAAATCCCACCCTCTCCAGGTGCCACCCCTCAAGTGTCCAGGAATTTCCCAACCTGAAGTTGGCAACCAGTCAGCTTCCACTGCAAGATGGGGATCTGAACCTGGGTCTTGCAGACCCTACTATGAAGCTCTAACTGCTGCACCTCACTGGCTTTCATAGGGTGGCTGCTGATGAACGTAGCAAGCAGCTGAGGCTAGGTGAGTCATGCAAATCAGAGGGGAACTGGCAACCATAGAATACTTCCAGGCCTAGAGTTGCCAACCTCCAAATGGGACCTGGAGACCCCCCAGCAATGTTCCCTCTAAGATGTGGAGTCTTGTAAGCAAAAATCCTACTTTGTGAGCTGCTGGCATTAAAGTTGTGAGCGGTTGATGTGGCTACTGCATAAATTAGTTTGCTCTGGAGTCATCCTTCCTGAGCTGAGACAAAAATGTGTGAGCCGGAGGCTAAAAAACTGTGAGCTAGCTCACACTAACTCAGCTTAGAGGGAACACTGCCCCCCAGAATTACAACTGGACTCTAGATAGCAGAGGTCTGTCTCCAGGCAGAAAATGGCTGCTTTGGAGGGTGGACTCTGTGGCATTATGCCCAGCTGAGGCCTCTCCCTTCCCAAATCCAGCGCTCCTTAGAGTCCACCAGAAAATCTCTAGAAATCCCCCAGCCTGGCATTGGCAACACTTGTAAGGCCTGGCCCCAAGGCTCCCTCCCTCTCTCCCTGAAAGGCCAAAAGAGGCCTGGAAAGGGCCCTTCCACCACCCTTTTACTGACAAAGCCAGTTAGAAGCCCTCCCCCCCCCGAACATTCTAATCGCTCATTGTTGATACCTGAAGCAGATCCCTGCAGAGGCCATTTCAAAAGATTTTGGGGGGAATTCAGCCGTCCCTGAAGGGATTTTTTTAGTTTTGGGATTTTTCTACAAACCCAGGAAGTCTACTGACTATGTAGAAAAAGCTGTTGGGGGAGAGTGAGCCCCCTGTTGGTGGAAATAAGTATCCGCACAGAAAAAAAAACTGGCTAATAGTATAAGGATGGGAGACTAGAAGAATATATACAGAAGAAGAATGTGTTGAGGTTGGCCACAGTTCCTCATGTGAACAGCCAGTATATCCCAAAAATCAAATACTCTCAAGAAACTGTATGAGTCTGAACCTTGTCAGGGGGACGTTGGCAAGAGTAACATTAGTGTTTTATTAACTTATTATTACACATGTGCAATATTATTGAATTTGTCCATATTTTCTTTATAACTAAGAAGTGAAAGTGTCATGCTTCTAAAGGAAAATACTAATTTGATGGAAAAACACTTGCTGATGTGTACACGTATGGTAAATGAATATGCTTTGTATTTATTCTTCCGTTCAATACATCATTAATTTCTTGAGTGCTTCTGTATATTCTTACCTTGTATATTGTATGAAAGTAGCTCCAAAACAGAGTCTGCTCTGATGTGGTAGTTTGTTCTGAGGCCATATGTATCCTTTGTGTTATTAGCCAAGGAGTAAGAGGCTGACCAGTTATAGAAATTGCTGTACACGTTGGAAGAGATCTCAAAAGCGCCCAGCAAAGGTATTCGAACCGTGTAGGAGTTGGGGATGGTGAACGGTGGAATCCTGTACTCTTGCGATGGCATGTTGATTGCCAGTGGTTGCATTACCAACGCCGGTGTCTTTACAGTCCTGGGTACCCTCAGGTCATCGGATGATTTGCCACCAAATGGCAGTGGAACTGTAATGGTAGTGCTCTCCTTGTTCCAAATGTACTTAAACTGGCCATCGCTGCAACACAAAATATTACCTTTCATTAAGGGGTTTGTAAAGAAGTAAATCACACTGAAACCAGTAATGGCTATTAGTCAAGAAAACATGGGAATGGATCCACATTTTGTCAACCAGAGACAGTTTGTGGAACCAGTTTTTACTGTCTTCCCCAGCATCCTTTTTAAACCCCACAAAGTCACAGCTGAGTTATGGACACCCCATTGGGTTTTCAAGGCAAGAGACTAACAGAGGTGGTCTGCCATTGCCTTCCTATGCATCACGGCCCTGGTATTCCTTGGAGGTTTCCCATCCAAATACTAGCCAGGGCCAACCCTACTTAGCTTCCAAGATCTGACAAGACTGGGCTAGCGAAGTCTATCCAAGTCAGGGCAGCATCTCACTGCACCTTCAAAATAGATACAAATGAAGCCACACACCTATATGAGAATGCCACAGAGGGTAGCTTTTGGCCATTTCTCTTTCTCACAGCAGATCCTCCTACCACATGGCACACTAATTAATTAATTAACTGAAACTTTGCATCCCACCTTTCTCCATGGCTCAAAACAGCTTTCCATACATTATAACTTAATAACACCTAACAGAATTCCTGCAGTCTACACTCCATTAAAAGCTCTTGTTCTGGTGGGTTTTGCCTGATGTTTGGCAAAGGCTTTTTGGGGATGCTGGGGGGGGGGTGCTGCTGTGAGAAGGGAGAGGTAATGGAAATTGCTTCTGTGAACTTTACGTATCTGCAGAAGCCTTGGATCCAGACCACAGCTAGGACTCCTGCTTATACTGGTTTCCTCTGGTACTAATCTACAGTGTATACCAGGGCATCCATTTTAAGAACAATGGCCATCTGACAGCAATGCTGATTGTGTGAACTGAGGCAGCTCATGAGAGGGAGGGAGGGAGGGAGGGAGGGAGGGTTGCATCAGTGCTTAGTTCTTGTGGACCTTTCTTACATGCCCAGGGAAATGCTGATCACCACTTTGGGGTCAGGAAGCAATTTTTTCTCCAGGCCACTTTGGCTGGAGATCCTGGAGGTTTTTTGTCATTTTCTGAGCATGGAACAGTGGTCGCTGGGGGTGTGTGTGGGAGAAGTATTTGTGAATCTCCTGCATTGTGCAGGGGGCTGGACTAGATGACCCTGGAGGTCCCTTCCAACTCTATGATTCTATGAATTATTTGTGGTCGCAATGCCAGTTGGTTTCAGGGCCATGCAAGGCTTCTATCAGCAATTATTAATGCACCATCAAATAATGTCCCAGCTTTTGTTTTACCTGTTCAAGAAAATTTCTTCAGGAATGGTGATAACAGGTAGACTCTGAAAATTTAGTTTCTTAAGTCCACTTAATTTATCTTGTAGCGTTTGGGCATATGGAACATCCCTGGATGCTTGTTGCAGCCAGTTGTTGGTTGCCTGTAACATTAGAGGACATGTTAAAGTACATAAAGCCCAGGGGGTTTTTTGTAGAAAAAGCCCAGCTGGAACTCATTAGCATAATAGGTCACACCCAACAGCAGAAACCCATTAGCATATTAGGCCACACCCCTGAAAGCACAGCTCATTAGCATATTAGGCCACAACCACATGATCCCAGAAGGGGTGTCATCCAGCCACACCCACCTTCTGCTCCTTATTCTGTTTACTTTGTTTGTTGTCAAAACCCAGGGCTTTTTTTGTAGCAGGAACTCCTTTGCATGTTAGGCCACACACCTCTAATGTAGCCAATCCTAATGAGTTTCTGCTGTTGGGTGTGGCCTATTATGCTAATGAGTTCCTGCTGGGCGTGGCCAACTCAGGAGCCAGCCGGAACTCTGTTCCTGTGCGTTCCTGCCCAAAAATAGCCCTGCTAAAGCCTATAATCAGGAGAGCCCCTGCCACTGAGTTTATGTTTCACTCTGCTGGGGGGAGAAAGTGTTGTCAAGTCACAGCTGACTTATGGCAACCCAAAAGGGTTTTCAAGGTAAGAGACGTTCAGAGGCGGTTTGCCATTGACTGGCCCCATGTCATGATGGTGGTACTCCTTGGAGGTCTCCCATCCAAATACTAGCCAGGGCCAACCCTGCTTAGCTTCCAAGATCAGGCTAGCCTGGGCTACTCAGCTAGCTCATTCTCAATATAAATACTTCCCCAAGGCTTCATCTACATATGATATCACATGAGCAAGAGTGGTATGAAGGGAATGTTTATGATCAACATATCTACTTACTCCTATTAAACCTGAGAGAATATGTCGGAGTGTCATATCGGAATAGTGTACTTTGCTATCCAGTAGTTCGTTGACACGGTTCTGCAAAGCCTTCGAATAATCCCCAAAGTCTACAGGTATGTTGGCTGACATTTTCTTCAGGGCAGCACTGGAGCCTGAATTCCACTGGATATCAACTTTCTCATTGTCTAAAAAAAAAATCATGACAAATGACACAAGCTGATTTTACACAGAGTTTCTTTTGCACCTCTGAAGAACACACAATACATTTGCAGACTCTAGTACATCACAAGTGGGAGAATGGAAGAGAACCAGGGCCAGTGTCAGCATACCCAGAGGTGGGGCAGCTGATGGGCCCCAGGGCTTCTGGTGGGGTCCACTGAGGCCAGCTCCCCACCCACACCTCTCCCCTGATGCCACCCCCGCTCTTCCCCTGCCTGCTGCTGAGTGCTTTGTTACCCATGCTCCCAACTGCATATGCTGCCCAGTGCTGCTGAGAAGAGCATGTGAGAGATGCATAGCAGTGGCCCCTCTGGTGGCCATGGAAGTGGCACTCCCAGCTGCATCCAGCACCTAGCACCATCATGAAAAGGGCACGTAGATGGTGTGGGCAGCTGTGACTGCAGGCAGTGGGAGGGCTTGTAAGTGGGCAGGGGAAGGATGCACAGGCGGGTGGGGGCACATGGGTGGGTGGGGAAGAAGGCCCCCCCCGTAGCAGGCATAGCGGAGCCCTGAGCACTCTGCTTGGGGGCCTTCCAAACCTGAAACTGGCCCTGGATGGAACCCATGTGGTTTCTGTCAGAACTGCATTATTAGTTTACACTGACTGTGCATCGTACAGTTATTTTGCATTTTGTGGTAAATAATGACCCTGCCCTGGATTCCACATATGTAGGTTGATGGGTCACCCCCAAATTTGTTTGGGCTCCTTTCCGTCTTCACAGCCTCTTCTCCATGGACTTCTGTATATTTGGAATGGTAATTATAGCTCCCAGCAGCCTCCTATCATTCCCACTCACTTCTCTTTTTTCCCATTACTTGTGTGTACGCGTTAACGTGTGTTTTATTTCTGCATGTGTGCATTGTATTAGGATCTCTTCTTTTAATAAAAACAACCCTTTTAATTAAGCAATGGACTGGTTATTTGAGAGTTCTCAAAGGGAAAGAACCCCATAAAACATAGGTGGAGAGATCTCGCTAGATTATCCCCCTCTTGCAAAGCCTGGTCTCCTTGGCTAATTCCCCAACTCAAATGGGAGACAAGCTCACTTTTGGGGCAACACAGACCATTTGGGGTAACAAGGTGACATAAAATCGATGGATGTCGAAGGGGTCTGCAAGACAGATCTGATGTGTGAAATCCTGAACTTTTACAGCACACTGGTTGGTCCTCTGTACAGGACTACCGCTTGTTGTTGATGAAGGACCGTGATGATAAGAAATGACCATACCGTATCGAAGCATAACTCTTTCTGAAATGGAGGAACCAGAAGATGTGGCCGAAGAATCAATCTGAACAGCTATCCCATTAGACGAATGTTGCAGCAACGCTTCTGTTCTAGCTTGAGTCTGCAGGCGAGGAATAGAGATCACAGCTCCCAGCAGTAACTCTCTTCCATCAGCGTAACTGAGAAAACAGAGGTGGTCATAGCCACGATTACTATTTGCTCACAGTTCTGTTATTTTCTGTTGGTTGACAACAGAGTTTCAGCATTCAAAGTGTGAGGGGGGGGCCCTTCAGGGAAATGGGTGACCAAAAGATTTATTTCCTGATCTCCTGATTAGAACCTGTGTGGCATCTGCAGTCTTCCCAACAGGATCTCCTAGCCGTCCCCCCATACAGTCATCTATGGCCTGGGCTCGGAGCTCAACTAGCTAGTATGTGTGACCCAGATTGGGGGAACTAGCACTTCCAAGCACTGTGGGTTTAACTCATAAGTATGGCATGGGGGTGGGAAGGATGGGGTGCAGTTGGTACATGTGGCCTTCCCCCTTCATCTCAGGAAAACGACACGGGAGGGAAGGTTGAAACCCCTCGTTTCCTAACTCCACACTCCAACTCTGGCCTTGTATTGCTTGGGAACATCAATATCCCTCAAATTTCACATGTATCATCTACTTGAACCTTCAGTCTTCTGCTGCTGCCCTGCTTCTGTGGAACAACCCCCTGGAGGGAGAAAGGGGGAGGCAGCCGGCCTTCAAAAAATCTAATGTGTAGTTTGCCACTGTGCAGAGTCCACAAGCAAGACCTAGAGATATCGCCAGTTGCTGGAGAACCAGACGGATTCCTGCAAGTTCCATCTTGGTGGAGATCGGGTCTTCAACATTCTAAAAGGGCAGCACAGGCCAGCAAAGTTTTAATTTGTGTGAGTGGGGGATTTGACCAGCTTTATTTAAGACTACTTGACCTGAAATAGAATTCGGAAAAGATTGTGGCATTACCCTAGACGTCCTGACAGAGTAACTTCAGGAATTTTCTTGTTGATGATGTCTAAAATAAACATGTACGCTTTCCTGTCCTGAGAAGACTCATCAGTAATTCTGAAGTTGGTACCAAAATCAATATTGGAGTGGAGGACCTGGAGGTCACTGGTGAGCATCCTTTTGCCTCGGTTGTAGCTGAAGGTCAGCGTGGCTTCACAATCTTTTGCACCTAAAACAGTCAATGGTATGCAATGGTTTACAAACAGATTGCTTTATAAGGCAAGACACAATCGTTATTTGAAAACATTTGCTCCAAACATTTAAAGGGAATAAAGGATTTGTGAATCCATTCTAGGGGTCGAGGTGCTTCCCTCGAGTGGAAGAAGCATTTGTCTAATGCAAGATGCTCTTCCAAAAAATCTTGAGGTTGAGGAAGGCACCAGCTCCCAGGGGAAAGTGCCTCTGCTTAGTTGAAGGGATTCATGGGACCTGACCCACAGCAAACTAGTTGAGCAGTTCTTTGAACCCTGCCTCTAAACCCTACCTTCAACTTATTTTGCTCTCTAGGTGGGCTCACCCATGCAATATATAGTAAAGGTAAAGATTCCCTTGCTCGAAAGCCAGTCGAATCTGACTCTAGGGTTGCGGTGCTCATCTCCGTTTCGAAGCCAAAGAGCCAGCGCTGTCTGAAGATGTTTCCGTGGTCATGTGGCCGGCATGACTCAACGCCAAGGCGCACGGAATGGAATGCAATATATATCTGTTATGTAGTGGGTTGCTGCATGGATGGATGACAGACAACGACGTAGTGCATAGCATGCTTTATTAGGTACACAATAAGAACAACCACTAACGGCCGGCAGGCCAACTATATACACTCCAGGGACACACCCTGGACCCCGTTGGTGGGTTTGAATTTCCCGCCACGGTGCCCATTGGTTCCCTGATGGAGGGACTAGGAGCCTAGTCCCTATTGTTCCCTAGATTCAAGCTTGGGTAGTGCGTTGGCTCCCGGTGGCGGTCAGCATACACAACAATATCACTTGGTTTATTTATATGTAAGCAGACTCCACTGAGGAGCATTGGATTTGAAGTGAGACTACTGGTGTTATGGCAGTTCTGTGCTAGTACACAAAAGAGTGTTTATTTCAAAGGCATATAAAAACCTTGCAGGGGCCCAAATAAAGCCTCATAAAATGTTCAAAGTTACAAATACACAAAAAAGGACTTCTTCAGAGGTTCTTGTGAGCCAAAACGCGTCAGGTCATACAATGTCCTTTTTTGTGCATTTATAACTTTGAACATTTTATGAGGCTTTGTTTGGGCCCCTGCAAGGTTTTTATATGTCTTTGAAATAAACACTCTTTTGTATACTTACTTATGTTTTTTTAAATTTTGGCCCTCGATAAGTTTTCTAAACTTCCTTTGGAGGTTTGTGCTTAGTTGGTTTAGATTTCCCCCCCTCTCTTTTTTGGGAGTTCTGTGCTAGCAATGTATCCACATATGCTAGTCATCACTTGATGCAGTAAACAAATGATTAAAAGTGAATATCCTACCACTTTACAGAGCAACATCTGAAGCCTTCTTTAAACCTAAGGAGTCTTTCTCCAACTTAAGTGGCTCTTATTCCGGCAGGAGAGCTAGAAGTTGGAGGAAGATGCCTTAGGCTGGAGGAAACCTTCTTGGAGGCTAGTTGGATTTATGCCACTGGTTCAAATCTGCCTTCTAATTCTGATCGACCTTTTAAAGATTGTGTCTGTGTTGTCAAAACCTGCATGTCCCAGTGATTTACATCCTGATCCTTTTGAATACGGTTTACTGAAAGGATATGGTCTCTGCAGTGATCTTGGCAAATAAAAACCTTGGACTTCCTTTCCCCCAGAATATTACCTTTTAAAATTACAACGATGATTTCAGAGTGTCTTACCTTCTGCCTGAACAATGAATTTCAAGGTGTCAAGCAGATCTGCTCCTTCTTTCCTTATTTCATAATTAGCACTTGCGGTATATTCTGTTACTTCCCCAGACGGTTGTATTTCAATTTCGTACCTAAAGATGTCAAATCGAAAGGTCATCTGTCATTGTAAGGAATAGTGAAATGCGATCATGGCTGGGAGAAGCCTTTTACTTAATCAGAATGTGGTAGTTGCTGCTGATCCCAGTGTGGCAAAAGCTGGCTCTCCCAGGAAACCTGATATTTGACCTCTTGAAGCTGGAACCTCACGTGACCACGCATTAACAAAGGCATTTTTAAAAGGTTTATTTATGTATTTATTAAAACATGTATACCCTGCCTTTCTTTGTGGTTCACAGCAGGCCTGTAGCCAGGATGTTTTAATTCAGGGGGCCTTTAAATAAGTCAGGGGGCACCCCGTAAACTCCCCCCCCCCCAAGGGAGCCCCACACAAAAAATAAAAAATTGGAAGTTGGGGGCCTGGGGGGCCTGGGGGCTGGATGGGAAGTTAGGGGGGTTGGCAGTAAGTCAGGGGGCCAGGCCCCAAGATGCCCCACTGTAGCTTGGTTCACAGTGGCTTACAATAATAGTTAAACATTTCCAGTTGAAAACAGAATAAAGTGACAAAACCCACATCTCCCCCTCCCTCATCCCCTTAAAAGATGCCTGCCATTCAAATCCCCTCAAATGACTTTGAAAACAAGCAAGAAATGCAGCATCTCCTGAAGATCTCCAAGGAGCAGGCTCTCCTCACTTCCTCAGGGAGTCCATTCCACAGAGCAGGAGCCATGGTGGGAAAGGCCCGGGGTCTTTTGGGGGATCCTGAAGCCTGAACTGTTATGAGGGCCCCTTCTCAGCCAGCAACAATAGGGCAACATCCAACAAAGTCCAAAGAGCCTTGGCTTATGAGTCTGTCACTAAAATAGCCTTATTTTAATGACAAACACTTTTTAAAAACTCCATCAATTTTGTTGAAAAATTCGCTCATTTAAAAAAAAAAGTTGCTTCAGGACCCCTTCAAGATTAGGGGAGCTTAAGCTTCATTAGTTCCATAGTAGATCTGCCCCTGCAGATGGGCCACCCTAAATGGTGGACTGGCCAACAGATGGTTGCCTGAGGATCACTGTTGGCAAACAGGGACACATGGAAGGAGATGGCCCTCCAATGCTAAATAAGCAAGTGTATTCAAATTTGTATGATTTGTATAAGTTGCAGAATTCCTTTTTGCTGCATCGTTGCAGAATTTGGGTTACTCTGAAGAAGCAGGGAAGCATAACAGAAAGCAAGGACTCCCCATGTGCCCAAGATCTCCCTTACCTGGTATTCCCAGTGAGAGGGTAGTAGGGTGCTGCTTCTGAGGTGCTGGCATTAGAGTATTCTATTCTGGTACACAGTTCTAGGCCAACAAAGAAGGGCCTGCATGATCTCTGGGACTCTCTGTTCTCAATCAAAGGGGGAATCACTTCCATTCGGGTCGGGGTGACCAAATGCAAGGCATTGCTGCAAAAGAAATTGGAGTAAATGATCTTTCCATGTCTAATCACCATTCCAATTAGATAAAGCACTAGTTCCCTCCCTTTCCGCAAATAAGAGAAGATGAGCCCAAGCCCATTATAACCTTGACTGAAACAGAAGTTGCACCTGTCAAGTAAATGGGAACTGCTTTCTATTTTTTTCTTTTTTCTTTTCTAAGACAACAAAAGTTTCAGACTTTTCATCCTGGGATCACACCTGGGATTCTTCTTCCAGGTTAACACCATTGGCTTCCATGTCATGATCATTAATGGAAAGAAAAGCCATTGTAGTAGCCAAACTGCCCTAAGCACTTGGTTGTACCACCCAAGGAATTCAAATGACCAATAATATCCATCACAACGTAGAGAACCCCAATTTAAGGATGGTGCAAATCTCTCCTTGGGAATATCCTTATAAGAAAAGAAAAGAATGTGTGGGCCAGCAGATCGTGGTCACAGTGAGCCAGCAGCAAGGTATCTGAAGGTGAAATCTGGTGGCACCATGGTTGTAGAAGGTGCTCCTCCATTGTCATCTGGTACAAACGTTCTATTTATTATATTTTTACTCCATCTTCCCTTCAGTGAGCTCAGGGTGGTGTATGTGGTTGTTCCCTGAGGTAAATCAGGGATGGGTAGCCATGTTAGTCTGTCTGTGGCAGTAGAAAAGAGCAAGAGTCCAGTAGCACCTTAAAGACTAAAAAATATGTGGCAGGGTATGAGCTTTCATGAGTCACTGCTAGAGTCCACTCTAGCTGTGTCTGAAGAAGTGAGCAGTGACTCACAAAAGCTCATACTTGGCCACATATTTTGTTCGTCTTTAAGGTGCTACTGGACTCTTGCTCTTTTCTTGTGAGGTAACTTAAGCTGAGAGAGAGAGAGAGAGAGAGAGAGAGAGAGAGAGAGAGAGAGAGAGAGCGGCCCAGATGTCTCCAGTCCTAATCCAACCACTATACTGTACTGGATCTTCTGTTTCTGCATGCAAGTAGGGGGCATATGAACGGGTGATGATGCCCCATGGTTGCCTGTATACTGAAGAACTGTACCAGTCTTTTGAAAAGCAAAAATGCAATTTTTTTTTACAATTCAGGAACACAAAAGGAGAAGCCTACAGAGCACATATACCAAAACGTTACCTGATGCTGAAGAGCTGTGTGGCTGGAGCAGGAATTCTGAACTTCAGCTGCCCGGCTCTCACTGCAAGCTTGGCCTCAATGCCAGACTCATGGTAGAGATTGGTGTTCATTTGCACACCATTTCTAGCAAACTCAGGAATGTTCACGCCGACATGAGTTATAAACTCAACTGCCACTGATGGTTTAGCAATCAGTTCTGCTTGCATCTGCAGGATAAGACACAAATCACACACTCATTTCTTCTCAGTATCAGAATAGTTCCTTTCCATTCTGGAGATGTATACGCAGGCAATGTATTTTCCAAATTAAGAACATAAGAAGAGCTCCCCTGGATCAGACCGGTGGTCCATCTAGACCAGCATCCTGTCTCACACAGCGGTCAACCAGTTCCTGGTTTGTGAGTCAATGAACACTGGCTGGTTTGTTAGTCAATGAACATTGTCTCCTAGGCACAGTGCAGAAGCAACAGAGTGGAGCAGTAGACATATGGCTTGTTTCCTAGCATCTTGTAGAGGTATTTGAGGTTTCTGGTATATCAAATATGAAGAAATGCCAGAACAGGGTTATAAAAATGGTGGTATATTTTGAATGTCTTCTTGTTTCAATCTTGTCAGTTTATCTCAGCATCACTATATATAGCCTCATTTAGAGATAATGTCAAAAGTCTAAATTTGAGGCCCTCTGTCAGTGTGAGGCCAGGCCCCAGACCCGCCCCCCCCCCCCGTGATAGGTCCTGGGTTTATCACAGTTCGGTAATGTAGTACTGTCAAACTAACAAAATGGCCTGGAACACGAGTTCCAATGAGTACTTGGAACAAAACTGTAGATAACTCATTATGCCCATCTAGAAGACTCAAACTGAGATTTCTTGCTAAATCAGCACTAAGGGATCTATATGCTGAGCTGTGCCTTTGACAGAAATGAACAAAGAAGCCCTCTTCAAAGAGACATGTGGTACAATGGAGCTCCAAAGACCACAGTAAATCACCAGGTCACATTGTTAAGGTCCATCAAAGTTTCCGTCTTTGTCCTCAAAATTATATTTCTGCTAACCAGCATGAAAGATGGATAGGAACTGATGCAGAAAAAACAAATACATAAGGATGTCAAATATATCCTTCTGGGAGCAAAAGCTTTTGGATTCAATCTGATGTCCCATACTGTTCAAAGGCACTAAAATAATGGAACACTTTATTGTAAATATGTGACTGTACCTTGATAAGTACATAAAATAGTTTAAAAATGTTGCTTTTGCATGGAATTACTCTTGAAGTTCACTTGACAGTTCACACCAATAATAGGGCATAAGCAATTCTGTTGCTTTGGGCTCCCCCTCCATTCCACATGTGTTTCCCCCCTCTAGTGGTCAGCTTGATATTACATCACTTTATGTCCCACATAAAAACCTACAGTTTAAATCTACAAGTTTTTATGCTGGACATAAAACTAATGTAATGTTGAATCCACCACTACAGGGAGCAAAATATGTGTGTGACAGACCCTCCCCTTCGAAGTAACAGGAACAAAGAAGCAAGAAAAATAAGAATGTGGAAAAGCCACTTGTCTTATTTTCCAGTAGAGCTCTAGAAGGCCGCAGTTTGACCTGTGCACATACAGACCAATATTTGAGGCTGCAGTGCAAAACAGCTCAGTCCCCATATATCTGTATTGGTGTGTCTGCTTGGACCACCACGGCAAATTCTCTGTAATGTCCTGTTTTGTGTCCTTGGCCTGACTCAGCAATGGAAAGGCAGTTAAGACTCACATTCTTTTGAGCAATTTTCATTCCGAATTTAGCTCCTGGGGTGGCTACTCCAGACAAAGCGACATGTAGTTGTAGCCCTGTGCCTGTTGGCAACTCAAATTCGTTGTCCATGAAGATGTAGTGAACAAATAAATCTTTCTCAGTCCCCTTTGAGATGGCATGGGCAATCTGTGAACAAACCAAGATAGGGAATTATTTCACTGTTACACTGGAATCCCACACTTTCTCTGAGCAAATCAGAGCAACGTTTTCAGCCTCTCTGAGACTTGCACTATTTGCACAAGTGTGACAGTGGCTGAAATCTTAAAAATAAATGGAAATGAATCAGGGTTACTTTCAAATGTCTGATGTTTTCCTACTAGGATAACACAGATTCACAATACACTTGCTGTAACTAAGCACTTCTTTCCTGCCAGGCTTGTATATATCCAATTGCAGGATACAAGCCAGGGTGAATGTAGAGCTAAATTAGAAGAATACCCAAACCTCCAAAATTTCAATACTATAAACATAAATCCTAGGACCTCAAGATAAAACAACATTTTTTTAACCTCCTCCATCATCTTAATTAGCTCTGATCCTCTTAAACACTAATATATATTTGTAAACTGGGCATCCATTGGTTTTGTAAATGACAGCCCTTGCAATTATGGGTCAAACAAGATATGGTCCAAGACATCTCTGATTGGTTAAAAGGGTCAATGGGGGAGGGATCTGGAACAGGGCCATGACAGTGTGGGGTTTTACCCATCCCTGAGCAATTTTTCTACTCCAAATTGCCCACCTCTGTCCTGATCCTGCTGTTTGCACCATGGAGGAAAACATACAGGTGCCTTACCAATGCCTGTATTTTTCTCTTGCTGGACAAATAATGATTTTGAGGGGCAATTTGTCTTGGGGAAAAAGGTGTGGAGTGAAGAGGTTACACCCTTTCTCCTATACTGCCATGGATCTTGTGTGAATCTTTTCACTTATTAGGGTGTACACATATTAAAATATATTCAGGTTAAAAAATTTAAGTATCAGACTAATAAAAACATATCAAATATTAATACACATAATGGGTCAACACTTTCCAACTAAGGACCAAACGCGTTTCAGCCTCAAAGGGCCTTCCTCAGTGATCACTATACAACATTTTATAGACACACCTTTGAGGCCGAAACGTGTTTGGTCCTTAGTTGGAAAGTGTTGACCCATCATGTGTATTAATATTTGATATGTTTTTATTAGTCTGATACTTGAAAAATTTTTTAACCCGAATATATTTTAATATGTGTACACCCTAATAAATTTTGTATTTTTATAATATATATGGTCAGCTTAACCCTTCTGGTTCGCAGTGTTATCTTGGGTTGAGTTTTTCCCTCCTCCCCCCCTTTCCCCCCAGTTTTTGTGAATCTTTTCACTCCTCTCACTGGATCTCTTCTTGGCCTTTAGAAAACCATGGGAGAGCCTAATCACAAACCTTCTGGATAACACCTAGTATAGCCCTAAGTGTAAATGTCAGAGTAACACACCCAATTAGGGTTGCCAGGCCCCTCTCCCCAGCAACCGGTGGGCATGGGGGGTAGGGTTGCCAGATTCAGGTTGGGGAATGCCTTGAGAATTGGGGGTGGAGCCTGGGGAGAACAGGGACCTCACTGGGGTATGTTACAGAGTCCACCCTCCAAAGCATCAATTTTGTCCAGGGGAACTGATCTCTGTACTCTGGAGATGAGGTGTAATTCCAGGAGATCCCCAGGTCCCACCTGGAGGCTGGCATGCCTACACCCAGATTTATGTGGGACAGAATATGGCACAAAAGATGTTCATATACATACCTTTTCTGGGATGCTCTGCAAAGTTTTAAAGCTTTTCAGGATCATATTTCCCAAGAGCTTAAAATCACTAAGTTTCAGGTATCCGACCTCTTCGCCAAGGATTCTGAGGAAGGCTGTAGCTTCAGGTGTTTCTCTGGTAGCCATATCTTTGATGAGCTTCTCAAAATTAAGCATGATCCCTTTCATGATATTCTGGGGATGTGGGAGAAAGGCAGGAGAAACATAGTACATCGTTGTAATGAATAAGTGTCTGAGTGCACAGAGTACTGTTCTCTGGCAAACCTGTGCATTCATACACAGAATCTTTGACCTTGTCTCAGGAACCCACCTCTGCCAACTACAGTCCTCAATAAGGTGAAATCACCTATGCCAACATTGATCTACTGAGCTTCCTGTGTAATGGACCTGTCTTTGTATTCTGGCCAGGATACAAAGATCCCTAAGCACACCAAAACGACCAGGGGTTCTGCAGTCTCAGTGTCTGAATGAAGCTTCATATGCTGCATCAGATACTTCTCAGGACTGATTCCTTTGACACAGGCAGTGGGAGTCTAAAATAAAAAGAGATGTCCCTAGAAATCTTGATAGGTGGGTACTGGTCTGTCTCAGGACAAATGCCGCTGACAAACTCCCAGACAAAGCAAGGTGCCAAGAACCCTACTGGTTCTCTGTGGGGCTGCAGCACATGACAGTGGGGTCAAATGAAATCGTCTCTTCCTCCCTCTTATGTCTGCAGCTTGTGTCATTGGAAAAGGAAGAAAAAAGAGGCCAGATTTATATTATTTTATCTACTGGATTTACAAAAACCATATCCCGCCTTTCTGCCCAATCAGGGACACCAAATGCAGCTAAAGATTAAATCATTATAAAACACATCAAATCAGTTAAAAGCAACAATAAAACATGTATAAACCCCCCCCCCCCATTAAAACCTTGGGGACGAAGGAGAGATCATTGGAACAATGCTAAATAAAAACACCTTTACCCACTGGTGATAGAAGGGAACAGATGATATCCCTGGGGATATATTTAGTACCACGACTGAGAAGGCCCTCTTGGGTTGCTATGTGCCTGAACTCAGCAGGCAGGAGCACCTGAACGACTTCAGAAGATGGTTGTAGATGTTACCTGATTCTCTTCTCTTCTCTCTCTCTCTCTCTCTCTCTCTCTCTCTCTCTCTCTCTCTCTCTCTCACTCACACACACACACACACACACACACGTACATTTTGTTTATGAGGGTCTCCCAACCTTCATGGAAGAGTTTTGGGACAAACAGCAGGCTGCTTTGGGAAAGATTCACTTTGCCAACACCTAAATCAAACCCTGGGGGCACATATTAATACATACATAAGAAATTGGGCTGAAAATTCTACATTGGCTCTAATCTCTGAGCCTAAAAATCTGCAGGAATTAAAAAAAACAACAAAACAAGCTGATAGGGTACCTGATCCTCTTTTCCATCTTTGGAGTACTCGAAATACTCAAAGAGTGCCTTGGAAACCCCATCTGGCACCTTGCCATCGACCCAGTATAAAGCTTTGGTGACACTATCGGGGAAAAACCCTTTTGGTCCAAACATGGCTTCTAGCGTTGGCTCAAAGCCTTTTCCTTCCAAGCCAATCTGAGGAAATAAACAACAAACAAACAGATGCCCAAGTCAGGTAGTTTCTCACTTAGGAATCCCAGGCTAATAGAACTGTTCAATTATAAAAGCAGAGACTGATAGCTAAGCAGCTTTAAGCAAGTGAAGAAAGGACAGGGTCTCAGTTTGAGTGACAGAATAGCAGGTTCACCAGTGTCTATTTCCTGCTTTCAACAAATAGATTTTAAACAATGAAGGACATCTGAACTACTGGGAAGCTTGCCTAGCAAAGTGGAATCTTCAAAGACGTGGATTTTTGAAGCAAGTTATCCGGCTCACTGTCTACAACATTCTAGGTCACATTCAGAATAACAGGAGCACTTTGCAAAAAAGTTTCCTGTCTAACAGAGAAGCCGTTCTTGTCCTCACGAATTACATTTGATAGAAGTTCCAAGTTGCCCGTACTTGAGCATTCACTGCTGCCCCCCCCCAACCTGGCAAAAGGCTCCCACACTATTCTATAGAAAGTACAGAACAGAAGTGTTCTGGAGGAACTTTTTATAAAGGGAATACTGCTGTAGATTTAATGTTGTGGAAATTTTCCACACAGTTTTATCGTATTCATTGTAACATAGGGTTTTAAATTTTGTAATCTGCCTTGAGTTTCTGCGCAAAAAGAGGACTATACATGAAGTAAGAAAGCAATAAATAAATGTTTGTGCACTGGATGAAGATTAAATTGAATTGAAATTAGACTAGTTAAAGACAGTTTAAGGGAGAAAATGTTAAAGATAAGAGAGGAATGCTAGGTTATATCATGGAATGCTTGAGAATGGAAGGAATATATGCTGTTATGTTAAAAAATGAAAATAAACTGTTAAAATAAATAAATAAATGCACCCAATCTGAACAGTAAAAAAACCCAAAAAACACAACAAAACAACATCAAAAAGAAGCAGGAAGTTATTACCTCAAAAATATCCATAGGACTAAATCCATACATTTGCAGTGTGGTTTTTAGCATAGCGTCCTTGGGAACATAGCTATTGGAATCAAATAGCAGATTTCCTTCCACTTTTGCTGAAAGTGGATCTAACCATGCCATTGGAAATGTCTTGGAAACCCGGTAATTTCTTGAAAATCTTTGGAAGGCCTTGGCTGTTGGAATCTGGGCTCCTTTAAGAGCATGCTGTATTTTGTCTTTTAGCCTTATGACAACAACAAAAAAAAGGAGATTAGTCACAGTTATTCAGAGAAATCCTGGGCATTGTTTAGATAGATTTCAACTGTGGTACACCTTTACTTAGTGTACATTGGCATAATTTGCTGAAAGCCAGTGAGATTATTGGGGGCATACCCAGATGTATTAAAATTTATTCTGTGTTCCTGTTGCTACAGACGTAGCTCACACAGCACCCTATAATAACATTATGAAACACTTTTCAAACTCTGCCCAGTTTGGTGCTGGAAACTGTGTATGAAAAACATACAAGGAAAAAAATGTATGCGCTTTCCCAGTTAAGTACACCCCTGGGAATCCTACTCTAGGCTAATGACTGGACTGAGAGCCGACCCTGATTTGGTGTTCTCACTCTTCTTTGCTTCTGACAGCCTCACAGCTAACATAGCATCCCTAAATGGAATACAAGGATACCTCAGCTACCATAGATACTGTGTAGCTCTGCCTCTATGGCATTTGGTGTAAGGAAGGGCATCTGCCAGCTCTTGATACGTACGTCCCCTATCATGAGTGGTGTGTGTGTTCGGGTGGGTGGATATTATCCCCTGCCCACATATAGCTTGATCAAAGATTGTCTGACCCTCAGATGAAGATGCTGGTTAAGACTAAAGGTAAAGGTTTCCTCCACTCGAAAGCTAGTCGAATCTGACTCTAGGGGGTGGTGCTCATCTCCATTTCCATGTCAAAGAGCCAGCGCTGTCCGAAGGCATTTCTGTGGTCATGTGGCTGGCATGACTAAACCCCAAGGCACACGGAACACTGTTACCTTCCCACCGAAGTGGTACCTATTTATCTACTTGCAGTTTCTTGCTTTCAAACTGCTAGGCTGGCAGGAGCTGGGGCCAGAGATGGGAGCTCACTCCGTCATGCGGCACTAGGGTCTCAACCTGCTGAGCCTGAGGCCTCCCGGTCTGCAGCTTAGTGTCCTAACCTCTGAGCCACCGCGGCCCCTTTTGCTTAAGACTAGATGGATATATATAATGGACTCTTGCTGTAATAAGAATTGTTCAGGTATCCATTATCAATGATCAAGATTGCAACTGAAGCTGCTATAGTGAAGCTATATCTGCACTACAGATTCCAATGAGCTTTCACTTACGGTTGAATGCTAGGTTCATCAGAATCCAAGATGTTGGCAATGTGTGATGCTACAAAGCTTTTTACTTGTTCACTCGTGTCCTTTGTAAGAGCTCTAACAACCCTGGAAATGTCCGACTGGGAGGGGTTTCTCATCAGCATGAGATAAGCCGTCAGACGTTTGTCGTCTGGATTGGAGGTCTTTTGGAAAACGTCAACAAGTGTCCCTTGCTCCTGTAATAGTAGGAAGATGAGAATATTAGGGTACAGAAATGTCATCTATTAGGAGCTTCCTTACTATGTTATGGAACATTTTCAGGTCAGCTCTACATTCTTTAAGTCTTAAATTTAGTTTCATAACAAATAATACTTTTTGACAGACTGGAAGAGCACCCTCATATGGTATAGGATTGTAGTCTACTACAGTGATTACTGTGTCATCTTATTTTTGCTGCATTGTCTTCTACCATTGGAATCCATTTTCTGCATTGTCTATAGCAAATCTTGCCTTGGGCAATTTGTTGTTTGCATTGCTTTCTAATTCTGTAATCCTAGTCCTATTACATTGTTCATTGGTTGTTCTATGTTCTGCAATCCATCTTGAGTTTCAGTGACAAAGGTGGGCTATAAATATAGTAAATGAGTATACTTGAGGCAAATACTTCTTGTAAATTAAAAACTGATCTCCAGGCCTAATGGCCTATCTGTTTTTCACATAAACAGTGCACTCACAAGCATAATCACACCCTTCTAAACCCATTGACTTCAACGGATCTAAAAAGGGTGTAATTCTGTTGAAACTGGCAAGGGCAGCCACAAAGGAGCTAGAAAAGATCCTTCAGTGTAAGGATGTGCCCCTGGCAACCAGGACTAAGATAATTCACACCATGCTGTCCCCCATTTCTATGTATGGGTATGAAAGTTGGACAATGAAGAAAGCTGACAGGAAGAGAGTAGATTCTTTTGAAATGTGGTTTCGGAGGAGAGTTTTACGGATACCATGGGCCGCCAAAAAGACAAATAAGTGGATTCTAGTCCAAATCAAACCTGAACTCTCCCTAGTAGCTAAAATGACTAAACTGAGGCTATCGTACTTTGGTCACATTACGAGAAGACAAGAATCACTGGAAAAGACAATAATGGTAGGAAAAGTTGAAGAAAGCAGGAAAAGAGGAAGACCGATGGATTGACATAACAAAAGAAGCCATGGCCCTCAGTCTGCAAGACCTGAGAATGGCTATTAACAATCAATCAATCAATCAGTTTATTACGGTCAAAGACCCATCAGACAGCATACAGAATCAAAAACAGTCTCCAGATTATCGTAAGACATTACAAAGGGGGGGGGGGAACACAACCAAAGCAAACATCTCAAGGAGTATTAAGGAGATGCTTACGCTTTGTAATTGCAATAAAAAGAAATTTAGCAACATTCCTTGAAATAGCCGTGGATTTGTCCTCCAGTAGGTGTTTCAGCAAAAGTTCCTCGGACTGGATTACTAATTGTCCTTGAAATCTAAATGACCTTAATAAAGGCGTAATTAAAAGGGCTCTTTCTTCTGCATAGTGAAAGCAATGAAATAATATATGGGGGAGGGTCTCTATTGACTCGGAAGGGCATGAGCAAAATCTCAGATGTCTGGGGATACGATGAAATCTTCCGGAAAGAACTGCAGATGGAAAAGTGTCAGATCTGGCTCTGGAAAAGGCCCATCACTGTTAACAATAAGGACATTTTGGAGGGTCCATAGGGTCACCATAAATTGGAAGTGACCTGACAGCACTTAACACACACAATTCTGTGTAGGATCACCCTGCCAATCTCGCTCTTTCTCCAAGGAACTCATGGTAGCACCTATGGTTTTTCCACTTTGCATTTTATCCTCACAACAAAGCTGAGTTAGTTTAGGCTGAGAGAAAGTGAATAGTCCAAAGTCACCCCAAAGCACTTCATGGCTGAATGGTGATTCGAACCCAGACGCTTTGTTTCTAGTCATGACCCAAACACTGGCTCTCTTGGGCATTTTGTGCAGGAAGGGGAACTCTTTATAAACTGGTGACAGATTCACTTCCTGGCTTAACAAACACATCTAAAAATTAGAGATGACTGATGCTAGTTTAAATGAGGAACGCATAGTTATTGATATTTACGGAGAAAACGGGGAAGGTCTGAAGCACGATTGATAGAAAAATATTTATTTGAATGTACTATATTTATAGCCTGCCTTTCTCACTTTAAACTTGGGGTGGTTCATGCACCGTAAAACAATGCAATCAGATAGCTCGAGACATCTAATAAACAATGCAATAGGACTAGGACTACAAAAATTTAGAAATAATGCGCGCGCACAAAAATCTGAGTAGATAATATTGACCTTGATGGGTCTGATTCAGTATAAGGCAGCTTCATGTGTAGGTGTCAGATGAGTGTCACATTAACACAATGGCCTTTCTAGGGGAAAGACCATGGCTCAGTGGAAGAGGTTCTGTATGGCATGCCGAAGTTCCCAAGATCAATCCCTGGCATCTCCAGTTAAAAGGACCAGGTGATGTGAAAGACTGCTGCCTGAGACCCTGGAGAGCCACTGCCAGTCTGGGTAGACAGTACTGACCTTGATGGTCCAACAGTCTGACTCAGTATAACGTAGTTTCATATGTACAAGTATGTATCAGATGTGATATGTTATGAACAATGCCAAAAAGAGACAAAAGTAGGACATAATGAAATTAGAGCAAGATAATATGTACAATAAACAGTGGAATAGATTACAACCCTGTTCCTTTTATAAGACAGGCTCCCAGGTCCAGCCATGGGCTGGAGTGGCCATTTGTGCCTGGGTGTGTGTGTGTGTGTGTGAAGGAAGGAAGGATGAGTTTGGGCAAATGGGCCCAGCACTGGCAGTTAGCCAGTCATCTCTCAAGCAGCTTGCGGAATACATAGGACTCATAGATCTGTAGGCTTGCCTCTAGTACACAGCTCAGATTGAAAAAAGAGAAGTTTCTATACCCATCTTTTCTCTGCCTTAAGGAGCCTCAAAGTGGCTTACAATCGCCTTCCCGCCCTCTCCTCACAACAGGCATCCTCTGAGATAGGTTGGGCTGAGAGAGTTCTGAGAGAACTGTGACTGACCCAAAGTCACCCAGCAGGCTCCATGGGGAGGAGTGGGGAATCAAACCTGGCTCTCCAGATTTGAGTCTGCAGCTCTTAACCATTATGCCATGCTGGCTCTGGCTGAAGAAGTGTTTGGCATTCAGCAACGCTCTAAAAGCGCCCTCCATTATTTTACAGCTCTATTCCCTTTAGAAAGAATTTTAAAAGCCACAGGGCACTCTGTTTACCTCATCAGTAATGTCCATTTTCCTAAGAGCCTGGATGGCTGCTTTCTGGGCTGCGGGTGATGCGTTGTCACTCATCATACACGATCTTAGAGAACGTTTCACGTCAGGATTGGCAGCTTCGATTACTTGTCCCATGCTGCCAATGGCCTGCGAATCACATAAGACAGTTAAAAACCTGCTTTTGTCCAGTCACATAATACTAAGGAGATATGGTACCATTTTAAAAAAAAAAAGATACCCTCAGAGTCAGGTAGATGAGTTCATCATTCCCGTGGCACTTGTTGCCAATCAGCGATGCCATGAAATTTGCAACATCATTTATTTCCTCAGTTATAATCCTGTTCTCATCGTAGAATCTGGAAGACAGGAGAGGATGGAATCAAAGATCCTCAAAAGCTGCAAAGATGACTTAGAGCAAAGAAAAGGCAGCCGGCAGCCAGGGCAACATCCTGCGTACTAAGCCATTTTATCCGACTCCTGGAAAAAACCCTCAAAAGTGAATCAAGTTGGTAGTCCCGGTTGGTGGTCCTGGTTAATTCAATTTATACCCTGCCCTCCCCGCTGAGGCAGGCTCAGGGGATTCACTCATTAGGGGAACTGGTTTCAAAAACTGTGTTTGCTCAAGCACAACTTTCAGAGGGTAGCAGGAGAACAGCCAGATTCAAGTCCGGCAGCTCCTTAGAAACCAGCAAGAGTTTCAGGGTAGAAGCTTTCCAGAGTCGAAGTTCTCTTTTGTCGGACACCTCCGTCAAGATCTCTCGTTTGGGTTTTGTGTCATCTTGTCATGATTGTGCTCCAGCATATGTGAATCTGTGAAACCTTTATTGCTATACAGTTCTGATTGTATCACTAAGCCTGGCCATACATGAGATGCCCAGGGAAATGCTGATCGCCACTTTGGGGTCAGGAAGCCATTTTTTCTCCAGGCCAGTTTGGCTGGAGATCCTGGAGGTTTTTTTGTCATCTTCTGGGCATGGAACAGCAGTCACTGGGTGTGTGTGTGTGTGGGGAGGTATTTGTGAATCTCCTGCATTGTGCAGGGGGTTGGACCGGGTGACCCTGGAGGTCCCTTCCAACTTGATGATTCTATGAAATGATTGGACTGAAATGCAGAATATACTTCAGGCTCCCAAATCATTTTGGGGAGAATCAATATGACTAGAGAATAAAGTTGGCTAATCCCGGAGTGTTTGTTGAGATCCTTAACAAAATCGACTCCATCCTCACTAAGTGGAAATGAATTTTAACATATTCATACTACCTCTAACTTGGATCCCACTTAAAATTTCCACTGATGGAAGGGTTTCTGTCCACAGAGCATAACTTCCCTGCTTTCCTTTCCCACTGCAAATGCCCTGCCCTCTGTTGTTTCTGGAACATGAGGGAACTCCAGAAACAACTTGAGAGGGGAAAGTTAGAAATCTGCTGGAGGGAGGAGAAATTGGTGAAAATCACCCCCCTCTTCACTTGTGGAATGTTTTGGCGAGATCCAAGCCAGTATCTAGCATTTTCTATATCATGCATTTTGTCTTCTTTGACCATGGAATATATAGGTATCTGGATAAAATAGATAATGTTTTTGAATGACCGAGTATATTAGCATGAATGCGGCATCCATACTTTATCCCTAAGAAGGCTTGTTTTGTCCTTGGTTACCTACCTGTTGACAACACGGCTCAGGGCATAAAAGGATGCTCGGCTTGGATTATACTGGGCCATGTTAAGGATTTCTCGTATTCTTTTAGGACACGGAGAAGGCAGCAGCCCCAGGCTGTAAGTGACAGCATCTGTCACAAGGGGATCGACACCGCCAGTCCTCAGTATTTGAAGGATAGCTCCAAAGCACTCTGGGGTACCACACTGAGTCAGAGCCTGAATTGTGACCGCACTAAAGGGGGGGGGAAGAAAAGAAAAACTGGTGTAAGAGTCTAATTCATGAGAAAGTCATATTTATATGATAAACCATGCACACCAGTTTGCAAGAATGCTGATACTGTTGTTGTTGTTATTCTTTATTTTTAGACGTTGTTAATGCCCATTTAAAATATAGATGTGCCCGGTAAATGTATCAGTCATCTTTCTGTATAGATGGTAAATTACAATGAATTAAGCTAAAACCATACAACGAAGTATATGCAATAAAGTACAGATAGTATTTACAACAACAACATTTCCACAATTTAATGCCAATTCAAAATTCTCATTTAAAGGGGAAAAAGCCATTCGATAGTAAGCACTTTGGCAAGCTTCTGCAATACAGGCATTCCAGTCATAACATCGGCACTGAGAAGCTAATTTCCCAGGTATTACTCGATACAGGCGTTCCAGTCGTAACATCGGCACTACTGAGAAGCTAATTTCCCAGGTATTACTAGCATGATTTAAAATAGTAAAAAGCCCAGTAGCACCTTTAAGACTAACAAACTTTATTGTAGCATAAGTTTTTGAGAAATACAGCTCTCTTTGTCAAATGCATCTGTGTTTCTCGAAAGCTTATGCTACAATAAAGGTTGTTAGTCTTAAAGGTGCTACTGGGCTTTTTACTATTTTGCAGCAACAGACGAACACGGCTAACTCCTCTGGATCTATAACATGATTTACAGTGCCATCCTAAGCAGAGGTATATCTTACTAAGCCCACTGACTTCCATGAATTTAAGAGGGTGTAACTGGCTTACAATGGCACTGCTACTTATCACAAGTGGGCCTTTCTCCAGAAAACTCATATCTGCACACATGGGATTTTCCCATTTTGTCTTCACAATGCTGGCTGCACAGTGGACTAGGCTGACGTATGGCGAACAGCCCAAATTCTCTCAGTGACATTCATGGCTAAACAGAGATTTATATCTGGGGTTTCCATGTCCATATCCAACATACTGGACTGTACCACACTGACTCTAATCCCTCAGAAGTTCTGATTTCCTAAATAGATGGGATCCAAACCAAGGCTTTCTCCAAAGACATCAGAATCCATGGAGGCTTATTCGATTTTACGGTCCATAACAGTTCAGAAGTATCGATAACTTTATAGCATCATTAAAAATCCACCTCAGAGCTGATATACTGCTGATTTTATTGTATTTGATACTGGGAAATTTATGATTTCATTTTGGAGTACAGCTGTGGGTGTCTGTTTTATTCCTGATAGAAGGGGAAAGTTTTGAAAGAGTCAAAATACAGGATTACTGGCATATATTCACTCTGCCATGTATTTGTGCACGCACATCTTTCTATTGCAACACCAAAGCTGTTGACTTTGCCTGTCTGACACATATTTACTCAACTCTACTGATGTTACCTGGAAGTTTCCACCAACTTTGGCACAAGGGCACTCAGAGTGCTATTGTGCAGGCCCCTCAGTCCGGTTACAAATCTGTAGAATAGGCTGGCTCTCTTCTGGTTCTGCTCAGAGATGGAAAGTTTCTGCAACTCCTGGAGGACCTTCAAAACAGCATCACCATGCCTGAGAGATTTGGTCTCTGTGCCCTCCAGAGCTAGTCCTTTCCTTGGCAGGCCTGAAACTGTAAAGAAACAGATCTTTTCAGAATGACCCATTTGCAGTTCTGAGACTTTGAAAACTTCCATTTCTGAGACTTTAAAAAATAACTGGATTAAAATGTAACCATGGTAATAACATCCCCAAAATGTGAAATAATCTACCTCCTCGCCACCTTTGTATACCAGGAGCCATTACATCACTAATCTACCTCCTCGCCACCTTCCATCCAGTATTCCCTCTAAGCTGAGTTAGTGTGAGCTAGCTCACAGTTTTTATAGCCTCTGGCTCACACATTTTTGTCTCAGTTCAGGAAGGATGGCTCCAAAGCAAACTAATTTATGCAGCAGCCAAATCACACGCTCACTACTTCAATGCCAGTAGCTCACAAAGTAGAATTTTTGCTCAAAAGACTCTACAACTTAGAGGGAACTTTGATGAGGCCACAGCAGTGTTTCTGTAATGAACCAGTCCTGTAACAGCCAAGACGGTAAGGTTCAACCAGCTCTGAATTACTGGCAACTATTTTAAGAGAGCTCAGGCTTCCATTCTGGGAACCCACAAAGCAAAACAACCAACAAAGCAACCACAAAGACCTAACAAGCTAAAAGAAACATACTAGTTATTAAATATTAATTATTAAGCACTCAACCATGTGGGAACCAATATTTAAAAATTATTTGGAGTTAACCAGAAATTGGTTGAAGATCTAGGAGGCTGCTAAGAACTGCTACTTGGCTGTCACTCTCTGAGTGTCATAATGATGTAGACCTAGGCTCATTCTCAGATCCCCAAAAGAGGACTCCTTCCCCTACAATTTTTTGCTTTGAGCATCCAGATGCAATGGAGGAGGTTCCTGGATCTTTTAAAAAAGGCATAGAATAATTCAGGCAGATTCAGTTTGCCATGATGAACTGGAAAACGCTTTCCCTGGTGAGATGGGTGATGGAAAGTACCTTCAGACTCACAGCCAATTAATGGCAACCCCATGGAGTTTCCAAGGCAAGAGACAAACAGAGGTGGTTTGCTATTACCTGCCTTTGCTTTGTGACCCTGGACTTCATTGGTGAATCCCATCCAAGTACTGACTGAGGCGGACTCTGCTTAGCTTTTGAGATCTGGTGAGATTGGGCAGGCTATCCACCTCAAGGTCTGATAAAATTACCTCTTCTCAAACAAAATATTTTTATGATTTTTAACTTGTTTTACATTGTGAGCTGCCTTGAGCAGATCTCTGAAGAGGTGGGATATAAATGCTTTAAACAAACACACCTCCTTAGTCAGCTTGCTCTGTTGCTGACTTGCTTTGACATTATCAAGCATTCCCTAATAAGGAACCACCCATATTTCCTTAATTTAAAGCCACTGCTTTTTCATTAGGGCAGGTTCAGACATTTGCACAGAACAACAATTAAAGAAGCATGAGCAGTTCTCGTGTTAAGGTGTCTGTGTTTTGGGCGGGGAGATGTACATCTTCCCTGTGGTAAGATGAATATTACCCATGTACATATACAGCATGGCCTTGAAGCCTTACCATCCATGTCTCTGTGGTTGATTTTGAGGGTCTCTTCCAGCTTCAGAGTTTGTGTGATTTGGGCCATCATGCCATACTGATTTCTAGTGAGTAACAGGGGGGAAAAATACATTTTGGGGTTAGTCTGAATAGAAAAAAAAATACATTTTGGGGTTAGTCTGAATATACAGTCTAAATGTCAACTATGGCTGCAGTGCCTAATAAGGAATGGTAGAGGGATAAGCCATGCAACCTACTTGTATGATGACGGCAGGAACAGGTGTTTTTCAGAGCAGACCACCTCAGTTACATGCTTTTTCTTTGTGTCGATGCTGTACTTGCAGTGCTGGTTGCTGCTTATCAAAGTGGATATTGGCACATTCTGTGGGAAAGGTGGTAGCTGAGTTAGTGTACAGTCGACACTAATGAAACTGTAACTCTTTGTCCAGCTGGCCATCTGTACTTCCCAGTGATGAAGGGAGCTTTACCACCCTCCTGGTTCTCTAGATATGTCACCAAGTACTGAACTATGGTAACACCCTACTCACTGTTTGTGAGGATCATACAAGTGATCGATTTACCTGGTACTGATATACAAACAACAGTAAGTTTCCACTTTGGCAAGTGGTTGTTTCATTCAACACTTATAAGTTTCCTTTCATCCAAGGAGCTCACAGTGGCACCCATGGATGAGTGACACAATTTTCTCCTCACAACAACCCTGATTTGGCCGACTGACCTAGTCAGTTTGTCTAATCATGGCACCACCCTGGCTCTCTGGTTTGTAGTCATCAGACTAACATCACCAGGACCTCATTCCTGAGACAAAATAAGGTTATGTTTGGTTTCTGTATTTTCAAAGGGCAGGCCTCTTTACAAATGTGCCTCACTATAACCTGAGGTGTTTTGCACAGGGCCTATTTAAGCAGCAAACAGGTTCTTCTGTTATCATCTGAAAACTCAAGCAAAGTGCAGATAGAGCTCAAAAACATCTTTCCCCTCCCTGCTGTACTTTTTAAAAAAAACTGGTAGAAGAATGTTACGCATAATTTAACAATTCACTTAACACATTGTGCATCTTGGTTGGCCCTAATGAAGATATTCTTTTTTTTCTTTCTTTCCAGAAAGAGACATCAGCAGATTGAATGCTAATATGGAATAATGGTTAGGATGTTGGACTCTAATCATTGTGGTAGAACAGAGTCAGTTCCCTACTCAGCTATGAAACTCACTAGGTGACTTTGGGACAGTTATTCTGTAGGGTTGTCAAGATAAAATGGGGAAGGAAAAACCATATTAAACCTTGTGGAGCATCTTCAAAGGAGGGTGAGATAAAAACATACCAAACACAGTATACTGAAAGATTGGGAAGTGTAGCTTTAGGATACCCAGGGCTTTTTTTGTAGAAAAAGCCCAGCAGGAACTCATTAGCATAATTGGCCACACCCAATAGCAGAAACTCATTAGCATATTAGGCCACACCCCTGACAGCACAGGTCATTAGCATATGAGGCCATACTCCTGTGTTACCAGAAGTGTGGTCATCCAGCCACACCCACCTTTTGCTTCTTATTCTGTTTACCTTGTTGTCAAAACCCAGGGCTTTTTTTGTAGCAGGAACTCCTTTGCATGTTAGGCCACACACCCCTAATGTAGCCAATCCTAATGAGTTTCTGCTGTTGGGTGTGGCCTATTATGCTAATGAGTTCCTGCTGGGAGTGGCCAACTCGGGAGCCAGCCGGAACTCCGTTCCTGTGCGTTCCTGCCCAAAAATAGCCCTGAGGATACCTGTGGTGATGATATTTGAACGTCTATGGTACCAGTAATATATGATACAATGAAAAACCCACACACTGCCCTGGTCTGCTTACCAAGCCTTTAATGAGGGCAACTGGACTGACATAGTCTCTGATGGGTTTGAAGTTATCACAGGATTTCAGATTTCTTCTGACTGCAATTTCTGCAGCTGTGTTGGCTTTCCTGGCTTCTATTTCAATCTCACTGTCACACTGCCCGTATACAGTATCCTTGAATGAGAGAAACATCAATAATATTATTTGTATCTTCAAATTCAGTTGGAATCAAGTTTGATGACCCCCCCATGAGATCCCCCATTGACTGAAGGACTTCATCTTGGTCTCACAAATGGGTCTCAATGAATAAGTTCCAAGGCAAATAAGATGCTTGATAACCACATAACTTACCATAGAAAGTGTACGGACATTGTCTTCTGTCTCCATTGGCACTATAAGAGCCGAGATAATGCCTCTCTTGAGGTTAAGTATGTGTACGGGTTCATTTTCCTCAGGATATAGCTGGACTTTCTTCCCATCCTGAACGGTGAATTTTAGTTCATACCTGCCCAAAACAGATAAATAAGATATTTTTGGGAACTAAATGGTTTGTTTACCAGTCAAGATTACTGCTTGATATACTATGTTCCAAAACCAAGTGAGATAGGGAACTTTGTGCACTACAATGCAAGTGAACTCTGTTTTCAAATTCCTGTAATAGGGAAGCCCATCGTCTTCATTTTCCCCAACCATCACTTGCCTTCAGAAAGCATTATTCTGAGACAATTTTTTTCTTCTTCCACAGTTCTATTATATAGTTTGCTGTCAGCCAGAGATGTGGTAGATTTCTGATCAAATACGTGGGCCAAACGGAAACGCGTTCAACACTGCATGCAAGTACTGAGAAAGAAACTGCAACCATCTTAGCTCAGTACAATCAACAGGCTTTAAAAAGTATGACTTGATGAAACGGCATTTCCTTTTTATATTATATATACTGCTGAACATCTTTTTTTTACAAAAATAGTTGTGCTGCTATAACAATGGGTGTGACTCTTCCTCCCTCACATACAGCTGTGCCTGCTCCTTGGCTGACATGACTAGGGTTGCCAAATCGAACTTACCTCACTGGCGGGGGACTCTCGGGTGGCTCCTGGAGCGTGTGCGCGCCGCATGCACATCACAGGAAAGTGACGTCATGACGCCGGGCATGCTGGGGGCGGGGCCACAGCCATTTGAGGGGAAAACTCTATGTTTCCCCCTCAAATGGCTGTGGCCCCACTCCCAGCGTGCCCGACGTCATGACATCACTTTCCTGTGACGTGCACACGGGGGTGGGATTTCCCCCGGGGCCCGATTCCGCGGGGGCGGAAATCGGGCCTCCAAAGCGGGGGAAAATCCCCCCCCCGGGGGGACTTGGCAGCCCTAGACATGATGCTGTTGCTGACCCAGCAAAATGTTTATGTGGCCGGTGTTAACAAAGCACTATCATATTGTTTAATTTGTTTTTTCTAATAAGTTTCAATAGCTTTCCTTTGTTCTTAACCAAAGTTGCATTTCTAACTGTGAAAAATCAGCAGGATGTTCAATAATTATGCTATATAAGAATAGCAATTCTTCCTTTCTTGTGTGTGGTCCACCCAAAAAAGAGATCCATTAATTCTAAGCTTTTTTCTTCCTGCTCCAAGTCAGGCTCTAGGGTTGCCAGCCTCCAGGTTATTTTCCAGCCCAGAGCTGGCAAAACGAACAGGCTCCCAGCTAGAGCCACTGTCCAAGTTTCAAGCAAACACCCAGCCATTTCCAAGAACGAGACCTGCCTCTCACACCTCAGGGCTAGTTCCAGATTGGGGGGGAGGAACTTGGGCAGAAAGTTCCCTGGGGCTTCTTTCCCACCCACTTACCCATGCATCTCACTTTCTGCCTGTGCATCCTTCCTCTACTCAGCACACAAGGCCTCCCACTGCCCATGCTCACAGCCACCTGCACTGCCCGCATCCCGTTCCCTGATGACATTGGGAAATGTGTGCAGCTGGACACATGGATGGTGAAGCACTCACAAGTGAGCAAGCAAGGAAATGGTATGTTGTGGAGATCATTTGCAGTGGGCCCCACCAGAAGCTCTGGACCCCGGCAGCTGCCTCACTTGAGGGTATGCTGATGCTGGCCCTGTTCATGAGACACAAAAGTACTGCCACTGAGAGCCTTAGTTTGCTCAGTGAACTAGAGACACAGAGGGTGCGTTCAGACGGGAGCTTTCTGCCGGCATAAACTGCACCGGTTGGAACCGGTACAGTTTATGCCGGCAGAAACGCGATCACACTTACCTCCATTTTGCGGTTCCCATTGTTGTACGCCCGGTCACACGCTGCAGGCGTCGCCGGTTGTTTGAGCATGCACATAGGCAGCCATTCACAGAATGGCGATCTTTGCACATGCTCAAAACCCCCCCATTACATTTAAACTTTAAAGGTAAGGACTTACCTTTAAAGTTTAAAGCCCAAACTGGCCTCCCTTAAGTCCCGGACTCCTCCGGATAGGTAAAGTAAGGGATTTTTTTTTTTAACAAACGCTCAGGGCGAAGCTTCACCCAAGCGCATATCGCTCTGTTTAAAAGATATATATGGCGGGGGGGAAACGGAAGCCTCAGGCTTCCGACGGAAATGGCTAGGCACCGGTGGAGAGCGATCAGACGCCGGGGAAGATTGAAAGCAACCGTTGCACTCAGTATACCACCACTTGGGACCAGTGTTCACTCTGAGCTGAGTTAGTGTGAGCTAGCTCACAGTTTTGTCACCTCCGGCTCACACATTTTTGCCTTAGCTCAGGAAGGAGGGCTCCAGAGCCAACTAATTGATGCAGTAGCCAAATCACCTGCTCACAACTTTTATGCCAGTCGCTCACAAAGTAGGATTTTGGCTCATGGGACTCCACAGCTTAGAGGAAACATTGCTTGGGACCTAGTGGCAGAGTGCAACGGTGTAAAGGGCTCTACATCGGTTAGGGACAGGAGGCAGATGTTCGCCGTCTGAACGCCGGTGAGTACAGCGATTGCAACCGGCACCTATACCGATGTAAAGCCCCCGTCTGAATGCACCCAGAGAGAAGCAACCTGTTGGAGGCACGTGAGTGAGAGCTTTTTTTTTGGAATGCCTGGTTACTCAATCAGACTCAGTTTGCTCTGTGTTGCTGACCTGGAACTGGAACAAGTGATGGGATGTCAACTGTCTCACTAATGGCTGAGTCAAAAAACTCTCAAGGAGATAAGCATTTAGATCTGTTCTGGGATACCATTTAAAACTATCAATCTGTTCTCTAGGTCTTGAATCTGTCCTAAAATTTCTGCGAATAGATTTTGGTCCACAGAAGCATAACTTTCTCGCTTATGCCCTCCCATTGCATGCCCAAATGCCCTCAAAAACGCTGCTCATGGGGAACTCCTGGGGAATTGGTAATCAAGAATAGCCTGGAGGGAGCCAGTAATCTACCACAGGAGAAGGCACTGGCAAAAATCCCCTCCTTGCATGTGAGGAAATTTTAGGGAGGCTCCAACCATAGGTCTGCTTTTTGAACACCACTGCGCTGTATCTTCATAGCAGATGGGCAGGATCATAAAGCTACACAACAAAAGAATAAGGTGTTCACAGAAGATCATTTAGTTTTTTTCTTACTGGGACATGGCAGTGGCAAAGTCATCTGAGTTCCTTGACTTCTTCAACAAAATCTTTCCCTCAGGGTCAATGCCGGACACTTCTCGGAGGCTACACTGGCTTGTCTTCAACACAAATTTGCATAGTTGTGGGACCTCCAGCTCAACCTGGAACAGAAAGAGTATAACAGATTAATAACACAGCTTTAAGACTGGTTGCAACAAACCGCCCGCAGTTAAGTGTTATGAGAGTGGGAATCTACTGATCATAACAGCAAGTGTAGATATCTCAGTCTCATGAACATAAGAAGGAGATGGAGGCCACCCTGCAGGGTTCACATGCTCCTTCACCCCCCTTCTCCTCTTACATGTGAATTTCCTGTTCTTCTCAAAGGTAGCCATGGTGGAGTGTGGCGGTGGCACAGGGGATTTATCCTCTGGTTAACAGCTGAACTGAACAGGACTGCTTGTCAGTTCAAGCCCCGCACTGGTGTGAGTTGCCAGTCTTTGTCCCCAGCTCGCCGTCCACCCAGCGGTTCAAAAGCTTCGGCGAGTAGATAAAATGGGTACCACTCCTTAAAGAGGGTGGGTACAACCCTCCTCAGGTTTGTTAGCCAATCGGATGGTCTGCGCGTAAGATCCGTAAGCCGGAAAAAGAACTACGCTGCAAGAAATAGCCTGCAATAGGCCACTCGGCCAGACGGTGGCAGTGGTGCGCTGCGACTGAGACAACGCTGACGACATCAAGCGTCGCAGAGGGAAGGAATGCAGCTGGAACACGCCTGGACCTTGCTGCTGACTATCTCCGTTGACTACGATAAAAACATGTGTGTGATTTAATTGATATATGTTGTCTTCCCTTACCCCCAAGCATTGTTAGTCCCATCTGATATTCATGAGTAACTGTACATCGCTCAGAGTTTAGAACTTAAGAAGAACCACACTAGATTAGACCAAAGACCCACCAAGTCCAGCATTCTGTTCACACAGTGGCCAACCAACTACCTCTAGGAAGCTCACAAACTATTGTTTAACTATTTCTTATCAGTGCTGCAATTTGCTAAATCTGATTTGACATCAACCACGGTGTTAATGGTGGTGTAGTCAAAATACAAAATATTAAAGACACATTAGAAGTTATGCTCAGTTGTGCTCATTCATGTAGGTTGCTTATAATGTGTTTTAATATCTTGCATTTTGACTGTTATGTATGAGTTTGTGTGTGTCTATAAACTTTTTAGATCCCCTGGCAAAGCTATGGCAAAACATGTGGGGCCTTTTTACTATTCCATCAATAAGTTTGCACTTCGCCACTGCAATCTCAGCCTTTGTATCAAAATCAGGGGGATAGTCAGACTATTGCAATTCCCTAACTGCAGTCCAGTGTGTGGGGCTGTGTCTGTGTGTAAGGTTATCAGTTGCTGTGGGGGACAAATTACAGTGAACGGTGTTGGAGTAGAGAAATCATTTATATGAGGGGATTTACTTGTGACATGTTTCTGAACAAATACAAAGGAACCATCGGGACAAAAGAGGTTCTGTTGCCTTTATTAAATATTCCACTCAAGTTCTCCTTCCTTACCTTGCAGCTAATTTTGGAGCCAGTCCGTGAATCTGCTGTTCCTGACACTCCACTTGTTGTTTCTGCTTCATAGCTGAAGGCATAATTTCTGAGGTGCTTAAATTTGGTTGTGTCTCCTACAAGGTATAATCAAGAAAGCATGCATTTGTTCATTGACACATACTTTTTTCCAGATTTAAATCATTGCAAAATACCAACAAATTAAAAAAAGAAGAAGAGATCAGGTTTTAGAGCTCTTTGGGTATTTCTCTTTCTTGAGGGAACTTTTTTGGCATGTTGAATCCTGATCCATATAGCAAATTGTGTACAGAAACATGAACAAGGGCTTGAAGATCTATAGACAGCTGTTTAAGAGGTGTTTCGTTTCCCACTCACAGCCCCCTGCATCATAGTCAGAACTATGAATCTGAAAAATCTGGAAATCCCCAATATTAACTTTTTCATTTTTAAGTGCCGCTTCATGCATTATTTTTGTGCGTGTGGGTGCAGCACCAAAAACTGTCAAAGCCGAAGAGTCAGCGCTGTCCGAAGACGTTTCCGTGGTCATGTGGCCAGCATGACTAAACACCGAGGTGCACGGAACGCTGTTACCTTCCCACCGAAGTGGTACCTATTTATCTACTTGCAATTTCTTGCTTTCGAACTGCTAGGTTGGCAGGAGGGATTATTAATATACCGACATATAAATCAATCCCAGCATTTTCAAGCAAGGGGGATGTCTGTGTGAAACCAAGTTTTGCTGTGCTCTTTCCTCTTCTGTATGTGGCTCTACATGAAAAAAGGCTTCTCCATGGGGGAGGGCCTGTAGGCACAGGACTTTTACAGTATTCAAATACTATGGAAAAGATGGTCAGCGCTGATCGCTCTAAAAGTGCAGTTCAGCCAATGAGGAAACCTATTCCAGACACCACATCTCCAGCAACAAGTGAGGAGAGCAGTCAGCTCCAACCGTAGGTCCAGCTGGAAAGATTCTCGAGGGCAGCAGACAAGAGAATCTAGAGTATACAGCATCTATCTGAAAATAACCTGGGCAGAAATATAAAGATCATTTTCTACCAGCGGATGGTGGTGAGTGATTTTTGCCAGTCCACCTCACATTGCACACACCGCCTCTGCTTCACATCCTATGCCATTCCTAAGCGTTCCCTTTCCTCAAGCAGTATATGAGGAAGCCCAGAGAGCTAAAGCCAGAGTGGAATTGGCAGAAGCGGCCCGCTTCTTCCACTGGCAACAGAGAGACTTATGACACTGGAAAACAACCTTTGAATTCAGTCCAGATTATGCCAAGCAATTAATCATTATGTGTGCAATACAGCTGCCAAATAGGCATTTAAATACACTGACAGTGCAGTCTGGCATACATAAGTGCTGTCAAGTTGCAACCAATTAATGGGAACCCCAGCAAGGGGCTTTCAAAGCAAGTAAGAAGCAGAGGTGGTTCCCCATTGGCTCCTTCTGCAGAGACCATGGTGGTCTCCCACCCAAGGTCTGACAAGATTGGGCTACGCCATGACACCTTCCCTCAAGCGTAATCCTTAACAGAGTTATATTCTTCCAAGTCCATTAACGTCAATGGGCTTAGAAGGGTATAACTCCTCTTGGTATTGCCACGTGACTCCTATAGCACAAATCAGTAGGCACGAAGAGACTTTACTTTATGGATCTCGTTGCCTCACACTTGCTCCCATGAGAAGACGGTTTTGCCTCCTGTACTTACAGGACAACACAACTGTTTCCTCTGCTGTTTGTGGGATCGTTCTTTCCACTACTGATGCCTACTGTCTTAATTATTTTTTCTAATTAAATGTGGATTGAATGCTATTGGATTGAATGGTCTTGGATCCAATTTTTCGAAATGGTTGAGAGAAAAGTGATCAATACGTAATTTTTTTCTGAGCTGGGGTTGAAAAGGCAAGTTAGTCACGATGGTCTGTAGATGGTGCTAAAGCACTGTACCAGGAAAAGCAAAGCTTATCGTGGAAAGATAGCAAACCACCAGCTCATCATATACTTTGACCCTCAATATGAACACTATGTATCAAGCCAAGAAGTCAGGAACAAACATGTTTCTTTACAGAGGTTGCTCTTCAACATTTCCTGCTTCTTGACCTCTGTCATGTTCATATTTCAATCTGTCAGCCATTTATTTTCAAGCTCTTATTTTATGTAAATGTCCAAAACCAGGGTCCAACTCCAGATGAATCTATTTTATTGGCCCACATATGGGACATTCCGATGTGAATGCTAATAGTTATAACAGGTAACAGCATTCAGTGAGTCTCAGATTTTCAGAAATTCAAAAAGTTGCCTGGGATTACTAGAATTCACATATGATTGTCAGCCTCCTCATATTTTGGACATTTACTGTAACATCTCAGTGTAGACTGACAGGCAAGTGGGAAATTAGTTGGGAAAGTGAGAACAGAATTTGCCTGCTTGCACCTTGGATAAAATGTACATTATTTCTTTTAATTTTGTTTGAATCGAAATAACTTTTAAAACTGCACTAACAAAACTCTGTACAATGCAAGAGACCGCCACTCTTAACCACTACATGTGTGGAGAAGCCAGTTTAAAAACTGCTCTGTGGGGAGGGGGGCTGCCACCAGTGTCTAACCAATCAGTGCTGACCGCAGCAGGCTTCTACACACAGAACTGATTTCCCAACAAGACAAGATTGGACATCTACAGAAAACACAGTGGGCTAATGACTCCCTCATGTGTGTGGATATTTACTCTACAAAAGATACAACCAAGAAGTCACTGGGCAACTTGAAACAAGGTCTGGCATAAAAGGAACGGATAAGGGCTTACTTGAGCAAGCTGGATTTTCACCTTCTGACCTCTCATGCTCTGTAAAGGAAAATTAAATTGCAATTAGTTTCACACTGCCTTTCAAGCCCAGCAGCAACTGGTATCCAGAACCAAATGTAAAATGCCTAGTTTATCACAATGAAAAAACAACAACAACAAGAAACAATTAGTGTAGTGGGAAAATTAATTTTAATTCACCCTGAGACCCCTGTGTGTTTTGCATATGCTTCATCAGGGGGATTTTTGAATTTCTGTCTTTTAAAAGTGTGTTTTAAAATGAATGCTTTTAAAGATTTTTATTTATTCTTGCATTTATTTCAGATCCCCCCTGATGCAGCATATGTGAAATGTGTGGGAGTCTCAGAGTGAATTAAAATTCATTCTCCCAACTGCACTGATTGTCTCCTGTTGTTTGGTCTGTTCTTGGTGTGGCCCTCATTCTCATCACTGGTTTATTGTAGAAGCAGCACAGCCATAAAGAGGAAGATTGTGTGGGATTTTGCAACAATTGTACGTTGGAAAGATTTTGCAAGAGCTTATAGGCAGGGCGATAAAAGTACCCGGTTAATGCCTGTACTTTGGGGAGAGCAGACTACAGAAAATTTGGTCCTGGGGCAGTGTGCCCTCTAAGCTGAGTTAGTGTGAGCTAGCTCACAGTTTTTTAGCCTCTGGCTCACACATTTTTGTCTTGGCTCAGGAAGGATGGCTCAAGAGCAAACTAATTTATGCAGTAGCCAAATTGCTCGCTCACAACTTTAATGCCAGTAGCTCACAAAGTAGAATTTTTGGTCACAAGACTCCACAGCTTAGAGGGAACAGTGTCCTGGGGATATAATTGGTCTAACACCCCCCCCCGACTCCTGTAGTGTATAGCGAGGCTACAGAGGAGTAAGTCTTTTGATGTTTTCAGAACTGGAACAGAAATGCAAAAAGGACAACCATCGTCCCAATGATATGAGAATCTAAGAGATACCATACACTTTCCACAGACCATTTATTTGACTTCACAAGCCTAAAGCAGGGTCCAATTGAGACAAGATATTGACTGAAGTGATTTGTAGATTGAGCTGCCAGGCTAATTTCACTTTATAAACCTCGGGTTAATAAGAATGAATAAGGGGCAATCTTTTACATTAGCGAATTGTAATGACTTGGATCCACTGGAACATTTCCATAGACAGGATTTCCATCTGTGCTAGGATTGCCATCTCTGGAATGGGAAATATCTGGAGATTTTGGGAGTGGAGTCTGGGCAGGATGGGGTTTGAGGAGGGACCTTGACAGGGTATAATGCCATAGCGTTCACCCTCCAAAGCAGCCATTTTCTCCAGGGGAACTGATCTCTGTCGCATGGAATTGAATTCTAATTCTGGGAGATCTCCAGGCCCCACCTGGAGGTTAGCAACTCTAAATTGGGGGCTGTAGCAGGAGCTGGGAGGCAAGAAAGTCATGTACCACAATGCCAAAATCCTTCCATCCCCAGAAATGCTGTGATGGATGCCAGCCAATGCACAAGTAAGAAAAATGCAGGGTTATCAGTAGATGTAACCGACTGCGTAATTGAAAATAAACATATTGCAAACCATCTTATCTGTATGCCATACAAATGAACATTCTGCTTTCAGCAAGTAAGACTTCTTAAAATGTTTGCTTTTAAAGGATAGGACATTGTTAAAAGGACTCTTGCTCTTCAGTGGCAATCTGACTGTAGACAGTACTGGTAGGTGATTAACTGCAGGCTTTGCCTGAATACTTAAAAGGACCCATTTATCCAGCAGAGTATCTAAACAAACATTTTTTAAATCCAGGAGCTGATATGTTGCTATTCCAGTGAATCCGCAAGTTACGCTTAGGGCAGCTATAATATGCCAAGCCACTTTCCTGTTCAATAGGTCTGAGTTTCCAAGCCACAGTATAAGCCACAGTCCCGCTGCCCAAAATACATTGAACAATCAGACAAAAAAGGAAGCTACACCGCAGGCAACTACACCATGCTTGCACCCTGATCCTAAGCATGCTCATTGGGAAACAAGTTCTATCCAAACTGATGGGTATTCAGTTAGGATTATTCTGTAATCTTGAGTCAGTGAGATCACTGACTTAAACTGGACTGACGCCCTAATCATGCACATTGTTTGCTCTCTTAGATTTGAGTCCAATAGTACCTTAGAGAGTAGCAAGATTTTCAGGGTATAAACTATCAAGAGTCCAAGCTCCCTTTTGCTACGTTTGCTCAAAGCCTGCTTATGTGTATATACTCGGAAATCGGTAGCCTCTGTATCCACTCGGATTTATTCCTAAGCATATCTCCATAGGACTGTCCCGTTAGGGTGTCCCCAGGCTTGCAGCTACCAATCGCAACATATATGCTAGTCAGTATGGTGTACCGTGCATTTGTTTAAAAAATCTCAAGGTTTTAGTAGCCCTGTTCCTTTTTTAAATCTCAAGGTTTTAGTAGCCCTGTTCCATTTTATTAAGGCAGACTGTTGATTTTCCCCTCCCCCTCTATAGAGAAATTCCAAAACAAAGCGGTACCATGGGGACTGATCAAAATCTAATAAACCGAGTCCCTTGACAGACGTGGAGTCCTGCCACCGAATACCATCCTGCAAATTGTGCCACCCGATCACATCACCGCAGACCAATAAAATGGTTATAATCTCAAAGGCCTCTTTAAAGGAGAAGAGGGGGCCAGGCACAGTGCATACAGACAGGCAAAAGCCGCACCAGGCTAACAGCATATAGGATGTCAAATAAATCAGTCACGCACCAAATGCAGTGAATATGGGTTCATATCAGATTTCAAAAGATCTAACAAGAAGTCACAATCCCTCATGGCAACAGGCTGCAAAACAAGGGAACATCCACATCACTGTGATCTGCTGATTCTTCTTGGCCTACCCAGCCCATGTCAGTCTCAAGGTCATATACATGATCATCTCTCATGGATAGCACCATCAAGTACTCCCCTCCCCTCCTCCACAATCATGCCAAGATGCTACTCACGTGCCAGGGCACCACTGCTGAGCAGCAGGAGCAGCCACAGCTGCGGTGGGCCCATGTTGAGCGAGGGACCCTTTGGCTCCTCCGCCCTCTCCTGTTTTCCTCCTGGCCAGCGTCAGAGAGACTGAGCATCTCCTTCTTGGACCTGTCCTTATATACTCCCTTGCAAGCAGCTGAGCCAAACGGTTTAGAAAGTTCAGAGCAAATTACATTAGGTCCAAAGGTTAGAGTCCTGGAGCCGCTTTGCAATATCCACAGAAGGCCACTCAGGGCTGGTTCAGCCAGCGGCAGCGTGAAGAAGGCACGGAAGGGCAAAACAATCACTAAGGCACCTTGTTCAGCCAGCCTGCTGAGCATTTAGCATTGGGTATAATCATGTAAATTATAATATTACCCAAAGAAGGGGAGCTTATATTTTAGAGGGGCAGGGTGTTCTGTGTGCTAGGAACATCACTTGATGGCACCTCTGAGTTGGGATGAATACTGGAATGCAAGAAAGGATATTGTGAAGCTAGGTATATGTAGTTACGTGGTCCACCAAACAATCACTTGTGAAGCATCCTTGAATCAACACAGCTTGGCCCCCATAAAGCCTGATGCTCACACAAACCGGATCAGCAGTCAGATTCAGGGATCTTACGGTACCTCAAAACATGTATTAGTTTCTGTCCACTATTTAGCACCCTAGGGGGTTGAAGCCAAAGATTCTGTTCCGTGAATGGTGGAGCTTTCATCTGGAGAAAGAACAGTAAACCCCAGAAGAAGGCTCCACTGTTAGTGGAATGGAATTTTTCTTTCTGTTCCATGGTGTTTTGGTTTCTGCTGTCCCCCCTGCCTGTCCCCCACTGGCTCCTCCTCTTCCCTCTTATAGGGCTATACTGCAGGCTTCCACACCAGTGTGTTCAATGAATCACAGGACCACATACAAGAGACTGGATAGTCATAATTTCAAGTGGCAGTTTGGGGTGCAAAAACTGAACAGAACATATAGTGGTAAACATAAATATTGGTACCATTTATATGCAGAGTCACTTGCTTGTTAGCAGGAACAAATGCACACGGTCCCTGTGTGGTATGGGTGAGCAGCCATGGAGAGGAAGTGGGGCAGGTAAGCAGCCACTGCACTGAGTCAGTTTTTGCTCTGTTCCCCCCAACTGTCAGGGGATGGGGCCTGGGGACAGCTGGGAGCCAGGGCCCTTTCTGCCCCCCCCCGGACTGCATGGTCAGGACTAACCTAGACTTGATGGTGTCCAACCCCTTGATGCCGGTGTCATTTAAAAACCTAATAAGGCAATTAAAATGCCACGGGGCTGCAGCGCAGCAGGATGAGGTGGTCTGGTCCCCCCCCCAGTGCTGAAACAGCTACCACGGCTCTTTTAGCACAACAAAATCATCTCATTGGGTCCTTGTTGCATTTTTAAATTACCTCATTAGAATTTAAAATGGCACATTATGTAATATTATTACATAAAATGTACACATTATGCAATACTATTGTCTGTATTTTTAGCGTGTATATTAAAACGTCCGTGAAGAAGAAGATACTCAAAATGAAGCTAGTACCTGGGATCTTCACTGTACGTTTATTCACAATTTTGTATTGTATATTTACTCTATTTTGTATTCTTTGCATATTGTAATTTGCACTTACTGATCATTCCAATTGTTTCATACCATAATGGGCTTTTTGCCTTGTTCAGTGTCCCATTTCACAGCTTTTCCTTTATTTATACGCTTTGCTGGGAAGTCTTTCTTTTTGGCTCATGTATAGCAGTTTCCATGGGTCAGACCTGGGGATGCCATCATGTCCAGTCTGGCCCCTAGCTGCTGTTTCCCGTATCCTTTCCAGTTCCTCCATTGTATCTTTTGTCTGAGATGAGATGCCAAAACTGTATATGATATAAGAGATCAGGACTAAGGATGTCTTCATGATTTACTGAAATCAGTGTAATAAAGAAATGCTATTTCTTCATCATCCATCCCTGATGCCAGTTAAGTCTTAGAGTTGCCCGACACAAATTGAACTCAACTGTAGGATGAATTCTGCAATTGCTGACTCAAGACCCTACAATTTAATGAATATATTTCTTTACTGACACTGTCCCACTGTATCCAAATCAAACTATGATTTTTTTAAAAAAAATGCAAAGGATCCATACACTGTTGCATTTGGATATTATTTGGCCAGTCTGGTTTGTACCAGTTGGCCTCTATGGCATTATATTCTGCTGAGGCCCCTTCCTACCCAAACCCTGCCCTCTCCAGGCTCCACCCCCAAACCTCCAAGAATTTCCCAACCTGGAGCTGGCAACCCTACCAGCAAAGGAAACAGTGAACATTCACAGTATCATTTGTAATGCCTTTTGACCTGGTTCAGATTTTTTTAATGTGTAGAGGAGATTATGTCATATGGGTGTCAGCAAGAAGAGACTGAGTTTCATGTTATCTTCCAAACATGGTGGAGGGGACAGAACGTTCAGCCCTTGTGATCATCTGAAGTCCTCTGCTGTCTTTGGGATTCCTTAAAAACTAATCAAATAGGATCTGACCATTACATTTTGCTTTCTCCTCACCTCTTCAAAACAAAACAGAGCATGTTGTTGTAGGGGACTCTTTGCCCCACACAGCCACTCAGTGGTGAACAGATGAGCTATGGTGATGATCTTGTTGCTATATAAAGCCCAGTTTTTGTACCTTTGATCAGAGGTAAACATCCCAGTTCTGTTGAGTAATATGAGGGGGAGGGGGAAGAGACTTCACTGTCCCAATTGCTTTAGAACAGCTGCAGGGAGCATAATACTGTAAAGTACTGTAAAATGGGACCCATATACCTCTCCACAGAATGACTTTTAGCTATTCCTTAGAGTCAAATATACTATATCAAACATAAATAAAAAAGTAATAAAGTAAATGGCCAGGGGTGCAATTTCAGATTTCAGCAGGGCAGGAGCAAGGGATTTCAATGTACGTGAGTATTAGGGGAGATAATAACATTAGTTCAAAGGCCTACTCGAAGATAGATTCTATATGAAATCACAGAACCTCAGAGTGCTTAAGACTATTTGCAGTTCAGTCCCGTTCAATAGGCCTGGAAGGCTGAAACTCTGTGTAAAGCTGCTATTTTCCTTTAATTCCTCCTAATAACCAACAATAGGGGTATAAGGGTATAAAGAATAATCACATCTGGCCTGAAACAATCCTAATATTATACCAGGGTGCCATTTAGCACATGAAATAGACACTACTAGTGCCCTTGTCCTGGGAGCTCTAATACATGATGTATTTGCTTATATTATGCAGTGAGCACTTGAAATGTGCAGTTCTCTGCTTAAAACTGCCTCCTCCTGAAGTTGCTTCTCTGCACTGGTGCTCTAATACACGTAGGGTTACCAGCCTCAAGGTAGGGCCTGGGGTTCTCTTGGAATTGTTGGAATATGCAAGGTCTATTGTTCATAGATAAAGAAAATGACAAGAACATCCTACAGGGGGCAGCAGAGAGAACATTAATTAGCATAGTGAGATTAGGGACTTCCTACTATTTTCATTTTTTTTTTAATCCCCGGAGGGGTATTTTTATTTTTTCAATAAGACTACAAACTACAAAGAAAAATATAGGAAGGGGAACTACAACTATTTTCAAATAGTCTCCTTCCTGTCTCTTGATCGACTCAGCTGGGGTTTTTCCTGCTCCTGCTCTCTTCATTACTGACTCTCTCCTAGCTAGTTAGACAGTCTTCTCTTTTACTCTCTCCTCTTGCTAACAAAGTTTGTTCTCTTCTTAATAAACCAACTTTATTCTTTAAACAGCTTGTGCTCCACTTTACTGCATATCTACACTCTGCCCACAGGAATGAGAGTGTTGATCAATTCCCCTTGTTATGTATTGATACGGACATGTCTAGACATGTCGCGCTAAGGAATCCATGTGGTCTAGAGCACCATCAGGATTTAGAACAATAGCCGACTCGGATCCTAGTGCAGACCAATAATAATATGAGCTGATTACTTGCTAACACGTCTGAATCCAGTACATTATACTGGCGATGAAGGTGGGATACAAACATTTCAAGGGCGCATTAGACCTACTAGTGGTTGAGGCATGACTCAAAAGCTTACTGGGCCTGTCCTGGTTCACACCTTTGGGACTGGGAATAACTGGGGTGCATCATGTGTGGCCATCCGATTTCCAGGACATGTGCAATGAGTTCCCAGCAGTTTTCTATGGTACGCTGGGCTGCTACACAGGTCCGGCCATGGCCCTTGACCCGGCAGTGCAGCCCATCCATTTAAAGGCCAGGAGTGTCCCGTTCACCCTCAAGCCCAAGATTGATGGGGAACTGGACCGCTTGGTGGCCCAAGGAGTCCTAGAACCAATGCCACATGCCTGCTGGGAGACCCCCATAGTAATGCCAGTCAGGCCAAACAGGGACATCCGCATCTGCGCGGACTACAAGTGTACTATCAACAAAGCCCTCCAAGACCACACATACCCAGTCTCAGTAGTCAGTCATGTTTTGGCTTCATTGCCGGGCGCAAAGACTTTTGGTAAATTGGACCTGGCCCAAGCATACCAGCAGCTTCCTGTCAACGATGCCATGGCCGAGGCCCAAATAATCATCACACATTGGGGTGCTTTTCAGGTGTGGCACTTGCAATTCAGGGTGAGCGTCACCCCGGGGATCTTTCAAAACCTAATGGACTGTATTCTTAACGGTATCCCCGGGGTCCAGCCATTCTTTGACTACGTTTTGATCGCTGCCCCCACGCCCGAACGTTTCGCCGACAGACTGCACACTGTCCTACGATTCCACACGGCCAGGTTGAAGGTGAAGCGGGAGCAGTGTTACTGGGGGTGCCACGGGTAGAGTTCCTGGGATTTGCGGTCGACACACAGGGCATTCATCCAACACCAGATAAAATCGCCATTGTCAACGCTCCACCACCCTCGTCCAAGGCTGAACTCCAGGCTTTCTTGGGGCTGTTGAACATCTACCATTCTTTTTTGCCCCACAAAGCCGCCATCACGGAGCCCCTGCACTGTCTGCTCGATAAACGGGC